CTTGTCGAATGATTTCCATGCACATTAGAATAGCCTCCTCACGCTCTCCTCGAGCAAACCTGATATTGGCCTCTCCCATCAGACCCCTCAAGGCACGAGGAAGTTTGCTGCGAGGTCTTTTCTCCTAAATGGAAAAGAGATATTATTTCTACCAAGGATTCAGTTGTACCCACATTCAGGAGCCACTAGTCACACTTGTGCCTAACACAAGCTAATAACAAGTTATGTATCAGCAATATTCAAATGATTGACCAAAATATTTGCTAATTTTCATGCTTGACAGACACTGGAAACACTTCGTTATGTTAGAAAGTTTTCAAACAGTAATCTAGATTAATGATTTAAAAAACAAATACAGGTGACACCAACATAAGCAGAAGTATCCCACATGGAATTATGTTCAGTCAAGTTTCACAGCAAGTAGCTGTAATGACATGAATTGGCATTTATGCACGATGCTTCAAGTCAGGAGATACAGGGAAGTTACATGAAAGTTTAAATACTTGCTTTCATAATTTTCTTGGTCTCTCGATTAAGTACCATCTCCAACACAAAAACATCTCCAGCTGTGGGTTGCTCGGTAGTTTCTTCTTCCTCTTCTTCTTCATCTTCCTCTTCCTCCTCCTCCTCCTCTTCATTTTCCCCAATCATGGATGCAAAGACCCGATGAACAGACTTACTGACGCCATCTGAAGTTTCACCTGGTAGAGAAAGGAGAAAAAAAGGTTTATGATATAAACAAGAGTATGCACTGCTTATCACAACAAGTGCACAGAAAACAGAATTCTTCGTAATTACTAGCCCACTTGAAACAGCAATTCTAGAAGAAAAAGACCTGCAGAAATGCAGAAAAACTATTAACAACCTCTATGGTTTTAAAACTCTGACTCATTCATCACCAGCGCTCAGTATACCCCAGCCTCTAACATTTCTTGGATATCTGAAATGAAAGCATGGAAGAACACATATTAAAAATCAACAGTTTATACAACATTTTTCTCAAGCCACATAAGAGAAGCAAATTAAGCAAGTTCCAAGCACTGAACTGCACAAATGGAATAAAGCTTTTCAGCTGAAGAGGCTAAGCGAGCAGACAATTATACTAAACAATAATGCAGCAACCCATTTTTAGAAGCAAGATCCATCAAGAAGGATCTTGTAACCATTCTATCCATGACAGTAAGTACCTTTTAATGTGTGTAAATGCACAATGCAGATTATTCATTTCTCCAGGAAAAGAAATAACAAAATTCTTTAAACCAAACAAGAATATGATGCTATTTTCACATTTCTAAATTTCAACTTTTCATTACCAAATTAACCCAATGTTATAACCGCCCACAAGTCTGCATATATGCAAAACATCAAAACATGTAGTGTTCAAAGGTTTCAGCTCCGGGATTTGGCATCAAAATATCTAATTAAAGAGTAACCACGGTATCAAGTTGGGAATGTCAAAATAAAGCTATCATGTATTGTCTAGATGCAAGAGGGAACTGGGCATTATACATGAGTTTATGGCGGTTTTGGGGTTGGTTTTTTTCTGACCTGGATATATTTGGTTATTTTTATTCTAACTCTGATATTAAGCATCTAAAAATCAAAAGTCTTCTTTCCCCCTTCTGAAAAAAATCTAATTATTAATTTAATTTCCCTTTTATTTCGGTCTCCTTTGCTGCAAGGGTCATTTGAAGATTATAGCAGATTGCCTCTAAAGATTCATGTATCACAAGCAATCTGAACAATGACCTTTTCTGACAGTTTTATTCTGAATATCATACATCTGATTCTAATAGCAACTCTTTAAATAGTGATAAACAATATCAATGCTTCCTTCATTCTAACTGCTCTTGAGATTTCCGTGTTCTCTGTCTGTATTCTGTATTCTGTGTAAGAGCAGAAGTACGACTGTGACACAAATCTACCGGGATATATTTCTTTTTAGGTAAAGATAACATGCATGAAACAAGTAACAGGAAAAGGCACCTTGGAAGTACTACAGAGACATCAGCAAAAAGAAAGGGTCAGTAAGGAACCACAGATATATGGCTCCACCCACACTTCAGTGTTTGTTTTCTGTCCTTCTAGGATGAGATCTGGCCATACTTTCAAAATCAAGGCAACACTGATGTACATTTTAGGTGACACAATTTAAGGCCTATTTTTGAAATTTAAGAAAATGGAAACAAACAAACACAGTGAAATCTCTGAAACAGAGAATTCCCAGTGAAAGTAGCAGGGGAGGGCCACGAGGATGATCAGGGGACTGGAGCACCTCCCATATGAAGATAGGCTGAGAAAGTTGGGGCTGTTCAGCCTGGAGAAGAGAAGGCTGCGTGGAGACCTCATAGCAGCCTTCCAGTATCTGAAGGGGGCCTATAGGGATGCTGGAGAGGGACTCTTCATCAAGGACTGTAGTGATAGGACAAGGGGTAACGGGTTAAATCTTAAACAGTGGAGGTTCAGGTTGGATATAAGGAGGAAATTCTTTCCTGTTAGGGTGGTGAGGCACTGGAATGGGTTGCCCAGGGAGGCTGTGAATGCTCCACCCCTGGCAGTGTTCAAGACCAGGTTGGACAAGGCCTTGGGTGATATGGTTTAGTGTGAGATGTCCCTGCCCATGGCAGGGGGGTTGGAACTAGATAATCTTAAGGCCCTTTCCAATCCTAACTATTCTATGATTCTATGATTTTAAGAGGAGTCTAAGAACCAACACAAAGAGATCAAAAACTGTACTTTTGTATGTCATAGCCTTACCAGTCCCACAAAAATATGCCCTGACAGGTGTATGGAGTACAATTTCTGAAGAGAAGGTGTCTAAAATAGGCTGTAGCACTCTAAATCCCAAGCTCAAATCCAGAACCTGAGGCATGGGATCAACAATACCAATACAAACTAAAGAGAGAAGTGCTGCTGTCATCACTTCCCGCAAGTCCTTTCACTATGCAGGAGCCCCAAGGAAGTTAAGCATATTTTGCGGGAGCACCTAAGGAGATACTACCATCCCAGTAACTGCACAAAGAAAGCCAGACAAGAAATCTGTAGCTAGAAATATCCAGCAGAAACTAAGGAGAGAAATAAATGTTGGAATTCTAAACAGGCCAAAGGATAACTAAGCAGGAGAAAAAAGAAAAAAAAACCAACAACATAGAGAAAAACTAAAACTCCTCTTTTTAACCATTTTATTTCACCTTGGGTCACAACGGGAGAAGGCAACGCTCACTCAGTAGAATCAAATACTCTGAAACATTCAAGTGTCAGCAAATGACTAGCAAAGAGAAACAACAAAACAACAAAAAAAAGCGGCAAAACAAAAGTGAAAGAAGACTTCTTGAGAAAAGCTACAAACTTCAGAGAAAACGAGTAATTGAGGGCATGTGGTTAAGAAGCCAGGAGGGGAAAAATTGAGGGTTTTCAGAAAAACGTGGTGAATTGGCCAGATCCAGCCCTCAAAACACTGAACAAAGCTAAAACCCTGGCTATGACCCAGAACACAAAGGTATATGTTCTAACAACATGCTTCAATTCCCACAGGTTCAAAAGAAGCAGCCAGGTGTTTATAATAAGTAAGCTATCAAAGAGCAAATGCTTTCAATGACCTTTCAAACACAAGTTATTATGTTAACATTTACCATCAGTTTCATCCTGACTTTGGGATTTCCCAGATGCTTTTCTGGATGATGATGGAGCCTCTGTATCTTCCGTGTTTTCCTCACCAGATGCATTTTCACCATCCTACACATACCAATAAATTAGTCATCAGCTTTTAATGTTATAATGACTCATTACTTTTCCCCCCTTATACTTACAGTTAGCATTTAGACAAGTTTTCAGCTTTTGCACTGCTAGTGAAACAGGTGGAATAGTGCAGTATTTTGAAATGACTCAACCCTAGCATTACTCGATTTCAAGGCATTTATATTCTTATTAATACGAGGTGACTCAGATTGTGACTGCTCACATTACTTTTAACCGAAGAGACAAGTCCACTATTTATCTGTCATTACAGTGAGGTAAGACACCTGCTTGACTATAAAAAAAAAAAAGAAAAAAAGAAAAAAAATCCTTTTAGAAGCCTGCCTTTTTAAATACAAAATGAAATATCAAAATAGCATTTGTTAACCCAGTAAGAAGGATTAGGGAGGTGAGGCACGGGAACATGTTGCCCAAAGAAGTAAATGCTCCATTCCTGGTGGTGTTCAAGGCCAAGCTGGACAGAGCCTTGGGTGACATGGTTTAGTGTGAGGAGTCCTTGCCCATGGCAGGGGGGTTGGAACTAGATGATCTTAAGGTCCTTTCCACCCCTAACTATTCTATGATTCTACCTAGGATATCAGTTGTCTTTCTATGACAGCTGAGTTCTGAATTTTCTCTCTGAAGACCAGGAGATACCAAAATTCAGTTACATTTTGACATAAAGATAGCAAAGTTAAAGTTAACTACAACACTCCAAGCATACAGAATTGCTCTTAACACCTCTATTTGCTTACTTTTAGCCACAAAGCTGCGTCTCCCTCTACTTACTGCTGTCAACAAGCCACAACAAAATGAGTCAAACTGGATCTCTTCCTTAGGTCTCACACAGAAGACGGTGTGGAAGCAGCAGCAATGTATGCTGAATGATTAAATCAAACCCTGCTTCTGCTCACTGCTCTGCCCTAAAGACGAAATTGATCATGGTGCCTGAAGGTAACAGCCACTAGCTTTTGCCACATCCAAGGACACAAACTGCACTGGCATGAACCAAAGCGCTGCATATAGCACTTCAAAAGGTGTATGCTCCCCTGAGCAACTTGCTGTACTAGAACCTAACGACCCTTATAAATTTCAGTTATTTTCTTACAATTTTGCATGGAAATCAGCAATTATGTAGCCGCAATCAGTAGCTGAGCACCACAGCCATCACCGGAAGCCCCTCACACACACACACACACACACACACACACACACACACAGAGGAGAGCGGTGCTGAGGCGGTACAGGGGCTGCCACGGAGGCAGGGAGCGGCCCGGCCCGGCCGGGCCGTGGTGCTGCCAGGCGGTGCAAACTCACCTTCTCGCGGCTCTTGCGCTCCTCCCGCCGCCGCTCGAACTCCTCAAAGGAGATCTTCCCCTCCAGGTAATCGATCAGCTCCGGGCTGAAGCCCGACATCGCGCCGGCACGGCCCGCGCAGGGAGAACCTCGTTCAGGGCTGGACGCGGGTCCGTCCCGTTACGGCGCCCGCCGCGCCCCGCGCCCTCGCGCAGGAGTTCCGCCCCGCCACCGCCTCGGGGGAAACATCGTCCCGTGTGAGCGGGCACCGGCGGGGTTGGGCCTCCCGGGCTCGGGGGGTGCGGGTAGCAGTGGCGGTGGGCGCTGCGGCTCTGCTCGCTGCCTCCCAGCACCCACGGGGGTGGGGTAAGAGGCGTGAGGGGAGCACGTCCGCTTCCGACACCGTGTTTTGTGTCACCCCACGTTACTTTCACGTGAGAGGCGTTTCTTAACTTCATGCACGCACACAGTTGTCGTGCAAGCGGCTTAGTGCCAGGGGCACGGGCCGAAACGGGTGCGAAGGGGGTGGGTGTGAGGTACAAGTAGCCATCGCGCTCTGGGGGCTGTGCCAGGGCCCGTATTTCCCCGCTCCCTTCAGTCTCCCAAGGAAGCAGGAGACTTGTGGTAAGAGTATCTGAAAAACCCGAGGATGTCTAGTTCCAATAACGTGAAAGGTAACATTTATTTACCACTTTTGAACAAAGGCGCTTAGCAAGAGTTAACATACGCTGTTGCACTCCTCATTTATTCACATCTAAACACACGTGGTTCTTCTAGGCACATTGTAATAGGCAAACATCACACATTTGTCAATGGAAGGCAAATGTGCTACTTGCAACAAGACAGCAGATTCCATAGGTAAAAACTGTCAAAGCAATTGTCAAAGCAATCAATGAAGTTAAAAAGTCAAAGCAGTGATATTGTGCTGGGAAGGGGATCACTTCGAGTGAAGTTCAACACTTAATGCCTGGAAAAGAGAGGAGGAAAAACAAAACAAACAAAGGATGTGAGACAAATACAGAAGTATTTATATACACTGGCTGCAATACCCCAGCTGAATGCAGCGGACCTCTACCTCCAAAACCAGTTCTGAACACTGAAAAGAATGACTGAATTATGCAGTACAAACTACTTCCACCAGCGAGTCGCTTTCTCACTGCTGCTGTAACTTACAGGAGAGCTACAGCATCCCTTTTAAAGTCCGTTTTCATTTATTTATCATGCACAATACTCATTGTGCAGAGCAGGTTTTTTTTCCTGACAAAAAATCTCGGTTGAATGAGAGCTTCGTACTGAAATCTGAGTGCAGTCTTCATTGCGATTCAGGATAATATCAACCTTCAATTTTAGTCATAGAAATAAGGAAAACAGCATGAGTGGGCAAAGTTATAAAAGATAATGTATGATTTGTTAGTGCAGCATCTTATGTCTAGATTAATTTTCTTAATAATATCATGGGAAACCATTAGTCTCAAGTTATAATTTATTTCTCAATTAATAATTTTTATCAGTTACCAAACTGCTGCATTCTATTACCTGTACATTTTCAGAATTCTTCTCCACATGAAAAGGAGGAGGAACAGAAAACAAGGAAGGAGTGGTCTATATAGGTCTGCACAAGAGCCATGTGTTATTCTGCCAAAGTAGTACATACCTCATAAATCTCTTAACTATTTTAAACCCAATTCAGGCAAGAGTTACTACACATTTAATTTCTTCTGAAAATTAAGTTGTTTTTATACTTCAGAAGGAAACGAGAATCACTTGAATCCAAATCTTTTGCTTGGTTACATGTAACAACATTAGAGGAAAAAGCAGCATTGTTTACCTTGGTCAGCCTTTGAAATAATTCGGGAAAGAATTTTTCCTTTCTTCATAATCTGCAAATGCAGAAGCAACAGGGTCCGAGTAGAGCATGACAGGCCTTGGTCCTTCATTGTTCATGGTGAAAGTGGCTGGGAGCTTCCTGACATCAAGACCCCTGCTTGAAAAATAAGCCTGGAGTGTTCTGAAAAACTGAACATATTGCATATATGAAAATAAAGTGTGCCCAGCAGAGATTAATTATTTCCACTGACAAAGTACATCTATGTGTTCCTGTGTGGGATGAAATCCTCTATCTTGGCCATAAACTAGTACAATATAGACAATATAATTCAGACATGTCCACTCTGTTCATGGCTTGTACACCCGACATGGCATCAAAAGTTCACCAACTGCTTACTGACCATCTCTACTCCCCACTGAACCACAGAGGATTCAAACTGTCTAGTAAACCAGGCACAGCAAAACCCTTGCTCAGAGCAAACACTGCAGTTCTGTTAGACATTTCTCTAAGAGTTAGCAATAGTGGGTAATTGATTTGAATTGGTCCCTTAGATCACTTAAAAGCAGAAATTAATGCTTCTTAAAACGGCAAGGAAAAATTGTGGGCAACTGATATTTTTTCTTCACAAATTGCTCATAACATCTTGCAAGTGTTCTCTTAATTCTCAGATGTAATTAACTTTCAGTTCTTCAGCCACTACTCATAACCATGTATCAGGTGCAAGCTTATCTTCTTGAAGTACAAATGTGCAGTCAATCAACAGAATACACATTTGACAGGAACATAATCACAGACTGGTTTGGTTGGGAAGGGACCTAGAAGATCATCTAGTTCCAATCCCCGTGCCAATAGACCAGGTTGCTTAAAGCCCCATCCTACCTGGCCTCGAACACTTCCAGCAATGGGCAGCCACTCTCGGGGTAACCTGTGCCAGTGCCTCACCACCCTCACAATAAAAAACTTCTTCCTAATATCTAATCTAAATGCACCCTTGTTATTATGACAATAATCATTCCTCTTCTGTTTCATAAACCAGGTGCTTGTATAAACATAATACATCTTTAAAAACTAAAGCCGCTGGATGGAAATATAAGGCAGATTTATGCCCTACTGAACACTGAGAATGTCTCTTCAGTTAAGGGGTACATCTTGACTGAAGAATGCTCATCCAGTTGGTTGTTATTGACTACACAAAGTGCACAGTTACATTACACAGCATTTAATGGGCCCCTCTTAGCTTTAAATTTAGAAGGTAAAAAAATTCTCATGATGGAAAGTAAAAAACCCCCACAAAACTTGGGCTACCTGTCTTGCAACATTTCCTTACCAGGTCTCTGTTTCTAGGGTTATCTAGAGGTTTCCATTTTTCTTCTGGTTGGAAAGGAGCACCCTTTACCAGTCCTCTCACAGCCACTACTGTATATAGACCCAGCAGCACCACTTTCCACATGCTGAAGAGATGAACAGACTATCTGTAAGAAGGACAATGAACCAGACTTCTTAAGTCATAGAGAGCTGTCACTGGTAAAAAAGAAAGCAAGCACAACAGTCCAGTGGAATGCTGACAATAATTTAGTCACGGCAAGGAAAATCTGCCTCCTGCAGATTACGTCCATGTGCTATCAAAGCTTCTTTGGTTTCCTAGTACTAATGTACTAATACATTTCCTAGTACTAATGTATTAAGAAGAACAAATTATCCTAAGGAAGTGCTTCCCATACCAAAGCTATTTTTCTAGACACTGGATTCTCTTTTGAGAGGGACTAGAATGACATTTAACAAAAATTATTTACATTTGTAGATTTACGTTGGTTATTACCTACAGTCATTTACATTGGCTCATCAGTTACAGCATCAGATCTTTGTGTGCACCAAGAAATACGGCTTGAGATCCAGATAACTCACTTTTAAAAATGGCATTAAATGAAAGCGTACTACATACATTAATAAATGCAATAACAACATAGCCTGGTGTAACCCACTAAAGACCCATTTTACAACTTGATTCAAGGACGGGGGGGTGGAGGGAAGGAAGAAATCATTCTCCCTTTCACATTCTTTAAAATAAAGCTTACCAGTGAATTTGGCTCTGGCTTGCCCCTTCTTGGTTAGTCTCCTTGTAATCTGTGAACAAACTGATCTCTGCACTTATATTTCTAGTGGACTGTAGGTGGGTGTCAATGACGTTAGCAGGAGTTCAAAAATACAGTAATGATTCCATTTCCATCCATGACATAAAGACCCTTGAGAATTTCATCCTTAATACTCTGAAGACCTGTTGCTATCGAACAGTGCAGTTAAAATTCCTCTTCCCTAAGCCATATTGCAGAAAATTGGTGGTAAGCATATAAGAACTTTAAAACAATTCCCAGGAGAGATAGCAGAGATTTAATTAATTAGCCACATCTCTAGAATGGTAACTAACAGGTAATTACAGCTGGTTGAATGGTTTTCAAGCAAGACGAGATATGGATCATTTTCTTGATGCTGGACAGACATAGAGAGTAAGGTCTGTTTCAAGATCCAAAATCATAACATTTTAATGGAAGTGTTGCTTTCCTACCTTGGTTTTATCAGCAGTTAATATCCTCTTGTCAGACTAGAAACTAAGACAAAGACTGCAATGAGGACTATGTTAATTTACCTTTGCCTTATTTCATAGCTTTCTTCAGCTCCAAGTTTTTGCTTACAATTTCATTATGCTCTTGTCTCTGCTACTTAGAGTATACTTTACTTAGTATCACATAAAACATCTCTAAATAAACACGTTAAAACTAAAGATATTTCACCGTTATCTCACTCCAAATTATAGATATTTATTTCTGACTAGATGCTTTACATCTTTGTTTGGTTTAAGTTTTGAAAGCAAAACAAACCCCTAACACCAGCCTTCCAGGCAGGCAAAGTTGTGGACATCTAAACCTCATTAGCGACACAGTAAACAAAATCCTAGCAGGGTTGTTGTCATGACTGCAATAACATATAAAAATACAAGTCAATTTATCCAGCTTGTATATTATTCTACAGACTTGGAATAGAAAAAAGATTTACACCCCCATCTATTACTTTTCATAATAGACAAGTTCCAGATACTAGACTTATTGAGAACCAGAACAACAGCAGAAACAGAACTTGTAAAAAGGCAGGGCCCAATGTAAGGAAACTCTCTGGTGATTTTCTAGGTAAATACTTTGTTCTAGTTTAATTTTTTGCATAAACATAATGAAGTCATCTGTAAATGTGAAATAAGTTTTATTACCTTTGTAACTTAGGCAGTTTGGTTGACTGATGAAGTATGCAGCTATGCAAGAGATCAGTTAGCATATGGGGGTTGGACTAAGATGATCTCCAGAGGTCCCTTCCAACCCTAATGATCCTGTGATTTTGTGAGCTGTCTTTAAAAAAAGAAGAACCTACAAACTTGCATTGTTGCTTTCTGAGCTATGTGTGTTTGAGTAACTGAGCTAAAAGTCTGTTTAGACTTAGTGCTCATTTTAATGCATGGTTCTTTCATGGTGTTTCGGTTTGTTTTTTTTTCCGTTTGCGGTTATTTTTTTGTGGTTTGGGGTTTTTGTTGTTGTTGCTGTTAGTTGGTTTGTTTGCTTGTTTGGGTTTTTTGTTGGTTTTGTTTTTTAAGATGATTACATTATAGCTCTTTCCTTCAGTGAACTACAAGCAGAACACGTATTACAATACTATTAGTACAGTTACACTGATTGAACAAAATTGCATCCTCCTTTGAGAACAGTAGCTACTTTAACAAACACTTTCCAAGCTAGATGTCAGTATGATGCCTTTTTAATGCAGCCAAATATAAGCATTAGGTCTTCTTGACAAATTAAGTATATAGACACACATAGTCAGTAAATGGAACCTTTTGCAAGTGGCTACACTAATTATCTAGCCCTTATGGCATGGTAATGTTCATGTGTGTTTGAATGAAACTGCACTGAAGCTGAAGATGCATGTAGCACTGTTTGTTCAGTTTCATGCAAGTTAATTCAAGAAGGTAAAAAATCTAAAACCAATTAGTTTAGCTGAGAACAAGTTTTATACACATTGCTCTATATAAACTATATTATTCACCAAACATTTTCCATCTTATTGCATTACTGATTCATGATAGCAAGGCACGTATAATATGCATGAAGTAAGACATTAAGACAGGCTTCTCATCAGGGATGACCTTTATTGTACTCTATTTGAGATGGGGGAAAAAAGTGTCTGTGACTTAAAAGTACTGCTCTAATCACCATGCTCTTTTATTCACTGTTTTTATTTTCTGCTTAGAATCCCAAGGGAAGGAAAAGCACCAAACTGCTCCACATGAGTACCTGAGCAAAGACTAAAGGCAAACAAACATTCATCACAACACTCATTAGTGTTTGTACAACAGAAGTACAAGTAACATCCACAACACTCCACAGAGTATGAGAGGTAAGTGGCATTTTTTGTGAATTACAACCATTTGTATTAATGCAATCATGTCAGAACACCACACAAAAATATACAGAAGTGTTTGTTTAGCAGAGCATATGCTATACAGTGCTCTTTTTAGTCATGCATACTTAGGTAAAAAAAAGACAAGTAAAAAAATGTGAAGTATACACTGTAGACAGGGAAACCACCAAACAAAACACAAACATACCAGAGTAGCTCCCACTCAAGTTGCCCTCAGCTTCAGCAAAAAGTACCAGCATCTAAAAGCACAGTTTTTAAAGATGCTGAGATTTCCACTTTCTGCAGTTTCAACATTAGCTGAAGGCAGCTATTCTCCAAGGTTGTCAGCTTCACACAGACAAGGACTTTGCCAAAGCTCATCACACATTGTATGATCTGTATTTAAGAATTCAGTTACAAACATTTTAATAAGCACAATCATTTATTATAGCATTATTCAAACATTTACAGCGAAGACGCTGTCAGCATCTCTAGAAACATGTAACTGTTAAGAGTTCGTTCCACCTACAACATCAGATTTACGCTTGCTGAAAGCAGGGGAAGAGTTAAAAATATGTAAGACAGGTTGCTTGTGAACTGATTTTCAACTCATGTAATTTAATAATAATAAACACAATTTATGAAATCTGCGTTCTTTGAAGTTTTAAGTCCTCACAAAACCAACCAAACAACAGCACCCTCCCTCCCATCAAACTACCCAAACCAGGTATTTTGGCCAGCATTATTCTGACTTGGTGCTTGGAAAAACAACTAAAAGCTAAGTAGGGAATCATGTTGCTAGGCCTAGGTTACACAGCTTTTCTAGACTAATCACCATATACGATTAAATTATATATTTAATCGCCTTAAAGGTAGCTCTGCCCTCTCAGTGATTTTAATACTAGACTGTTCCTCTATTCCTGTAGCTAAAAACTCACCAGTGGTTAGGATTACTGAAACATCATCACAAAAGAAAGAAGAGAAAGTTAGGTGACCAGGACAAGAGTTTTTAAGAGTGTTAAACTAACATACAGAAAGAAGTAGCAGAGAAGACAAAAACTGCATGTTATCTGCTGTGCCACAGCAACAGCAGCATCATGGCAGCCAGGGTCAAGTTAGTTCTCAGTGAAAGAAGGTTAATAACTTGGATTTGTACTGCTTCAACCAATTACTGTGATCAGCTGACATGCAAGCAGTCTCCGTGCATATCTAAATATGCCACAGTTCAATAAGCTTTGAGATGGCATCTTTATTCAAGACTCGGTATTATATAGTACCAATATGGGGTGGGGTCAAAATCAAAACTGAAGAACAAATGTGTGAAAAATAATTTGACACACAGACTTTGAAGTCGAGACAGATATCTGAGATATTTTAGTTCCTTTTTGTCTCTTTTTGACTTGAGAAACTAAGGTTAGCTAAAGCTTTATAATTTGGGTTGGTGTGATTCCAAACCACAAATATACTGGACTTGTCATAAATCTTCATTTCTGTAAGTGTAAAAGGGGATTAAGATAATTTTTTAAGAGTATTTTCCCCAAATCAAGTTTCAGTATGATCCACACAAATATTTTTGGTCAATTTCAAAAATTGAATATAAGGCTACAGAAGCCCACAGGCTACAGTTAGTGTATTCATTTACTGGTTTAAGGCACAGTACTTTTGTTTGCTCTAGAAAGCTACCAGTTTCAAGTCACAGTGAGGAATTTCACATTTCAGTTTTGGTCTGGCACTGTAATTATATGTGTCGTGTCTACTATGTGTAAAATATTTCAGTTGTCAGGTGCTGCAGTCTCGAATACTGTTTTCACACTCAAAGTGACGTAAGTGGAAAATACTGAAGCCTGGATTCTGAATAGAGCCCAAAGTAGGGCACTTAAAGTTTAATAAAACCAAACATCAACACACTTGCATGTTTAACACTTTATGTATACCCTGAAATGATTGAAGTTGGAGGGAAAAAAGAGTCTTTGCTGGCATTTCAACAAACATGCAAACTTCAACAGCCTACAGCAGAACAACAGTCTACAGAACAGCTGCTGTGTATCTTCACTAAGGCAGTCATGGTCGCTACTATTACTGTGACATTATAGTTTACCACAGCAGAATGATACTGCAGACCAAGGACAGCTGCATACAGAAGGAGGAACTGGAATGATATGCCACCAAATAAAAAGTTTGTGTGTGCCATTCCTGACTTTCATAGGCACAAAATTAGCTCCAATACCACACAGATTCCTGCAGGATCCAGACCACAACCTGCCAATAACTGCAGAGAGGCTTACCGGATTTGTTTAGGACAGCATGTGTAGCAAAATCTGTCTGCATTTAAGAATGCAGAGGGAGACCTAGTGAAATTGAAGTCAAAACATCACAACTTTGAATCAGGTTTTCATGCTACAAGGTAATAAGCATGTAATTTAAGGCAGTTACATGCTTAGATACCTAAAAAATTGAGGTGCTCAGGTCTACTTAAGTAAAAGCTATAGAACATTCTCCTTAAATGCTTAAACTTTATTTGTTAAAGCAGTAATGTTTATTAACAAGATGAAACATACAGATTTTGTTTGAGCTTTAAGATAAGTGAGCTGATTAAAAGCTTTAAATACATTCTTCCATAAGTAAGAATATACATCAGAAAACATAGTATTTGTAAAAGGTTTTCAAATAAACTTTCAGAGATTTTAAGGATTCTGTTACGAATACTAGTTTAAGGATCTGGCTTTAAAAAAAAAGGTAGAAAAACTATTTGACTTTAACATAAAACTGAATCTGCTTTCAATTGTCATCCGCACACATTTCCAGAGGTATGCAAGAGCAACATCTAGCTTTGGTGACAAAAGTATGTCTCTCCTAAAGGAATGGTGATGAAAGTTTAAAAACCTTTTACAGTACAGTGCCAAGTGCTTATACAAGCTAGCCTGATTATCTCTCAGAGTAAAAAAAAAAAATTTAAAGAGTCAAAGCTGTAAATTAAGTGACTAACATTCATTATGAAGTAGAAAATTAGCATTAGAATTTAGTCTGGTTTACAGCCATCAGTCTTCTAGTAGTTTAGTGACTTAAAACAGCAGTACAATTATCGTACAGACACTATAAGCACTTACAAAAACATTTTCAGTAACTCAGAGCATTGATGGTCTGTAAATATCCGTGTCTTCTTCCTTGGCATAAATAAGACAAAAGTCTAAATACACCCATTAGTGTATTGAAATAAGCTTAATCTAATGAAAGCTTCTCACATGTCTACATTTATTCACAGGCACATAATTGACTTCATTCTGTCCTGTCAAAAGTTAAGTAACAAGTCCTTAACCTTGTTACTAGCAAACACACGGAAAATTAGACTGTGAATTAAACACTGATATATGCAACAATGCTTTTTGGTGTGTTTAAGTATCAATATATTTTATTATTTTTAAATGCTGACCTTAGGTACAGTTGAAAAGCTCACTTAGACACACAAGCTGTCTCTGTCTTCTGTGATATATTACTATTGCCTTGTTTAGGGTTTTGTTATTTGTTTTAAAACTTTGCAAATTAATGTTTTGGAATTAATTGCTACATGCATCAGCTCACTCAAAACCACAATGAGAGCATAACTCTGAGGAATATTATTAACTTATATTTCAGTTACTGCAATTTTTTTGGAAACAAAACAAAACAAAGCCCCCAAAAACAATCCCCTTTTAACACAATGCTGAAACATGACATACTGCAACCAACTTTTAAATCAAAACTGAAAATATCACTTTTGGGCAACATTCATTCACTCAGTTTCAAGGTACATTTGGTAATTCAGTTAAGAGGTAATGGTTTTTCCTCACCAGAAAAATACAGACCTTTTATAAACTGTTAGCTATAGATGTAGCTACAATGATTGCAGTGTGATAACACTATGATGAACACGTTTGATCATATCAGCCAGAAAATATTACAGACTTCAAGAGCAATTCAGCGTATGGAGATGTCACTAAAGCTTCTTATTGAATCTCCCTCTGCCCCTGCCAAAGAAAGATGCTGCTGTACATATATGCTGTACCTAAAATCAGTGACATTTGGTACTTTAAGTTCTTACCTGTTTCTTTTTTTTTAAATTCTGTTTCTGATAGCTTATAAAAAATTAGAAAGAGGTACAAGAGAAGAAAATAGTGGCTTAATCTCAACCTAAATGTTTACGTGGCATAATTTCCATCTAAATGTGATGAACATCCACATGGATAAAGAACAATGGGTCTGCCAAATCAATACTGTAACTTCTGAAGGAGAACGACAGAATTTGGGTTTGCATGATAATAGAAATCTCCCCTTCCAGGGCAGAGGTCTAATCCATTACAAGTTAATTTGGGTCTCAATCTTCTCCCACACAGTCTAGATAATCTAAAATTTAAAGGAGAAACTGGAATATTAAAGGTACTAAGACACATTACAATATATTTGCCAAAGCTGTTTTATAGATGCAGCCCACTCATAATAAGGGATACTTACACTTCCTCATATACACAATTAGAAGTATTTATACTGGTTTAGCCTATGTTTCTGCAGCGATTATAATTACAAACAGTGGCAGAACCAGACATTCACATAACAGAAGTCTCTTCTCCAAAAGTAATAACAATCAATCAGTATATTTTACCTGAAAAACAATTTCAGACTGTTGCAAAATCTTGCATTTTCAGAATGGCAACTAGGCATCCTCTCTCAGAAGGGGATTAATTGTTCTCTGGGGTTGCTCTAAGCCTATCCCCCTCCTCTGATTATACAGAAAATCTAGTTGGGATCAGACACCTAAGCTCTCAGAGAGAACCGTCTGCTCTCTTTATTCTGATTATTATTTTGTTCTACAAACAACAACAAATGCATTTGTGCATAAAGAGCCCATTAAAATGACAAAACAAAATCAGTGGTATACCAAAACTATCGTGAAGGCCAAGGAAAATTATCATTCACAAAAATCAGATCCTTTCACAGACAGCCTTTTACCAGCCCCGATGCAGTGCTGCCACCATCTTTCATTCACAGCTATTTGAAAGTAGAATAGCTACTCTATTCTTGTATGTCTGAACAGCAATTATTAAGTTAACCCAACTGGTGGATTTTGCTACAAGTATATTTAGACACAGAAATTATCTTACATACATATACTGTAGCATACATTTGACTACAAAGTATCAAGATATAATCTATTGAAATAACTTTTCCCATTTATAGACACTATGTATAATCTAACCTTTTCTAAAACAGGTTAAGACCAGAATACCAGCACACAGATTACTGATAGCAGTGACAGTGGTCTGGTTAACTACAGAAGTTCTACACAGTTAAAGCAGTTTGAATGACTTAGCGATAATCTGAACTGCTGACTTGCATATAAGCACACGAAACACATGCTTACTTCACATTTGTCCTTCATTTCAGAAAGTTACTGTTCGAATTCTTTCCAGCCATCTCAAATTCATTGACCCTAACAACACACTAGAACTAACTGAGGCACTTCAGGCAAGATTAATGAGATACCATAAAATTAATGGGTCAGGCTGGCTGTACTACTGTATCAAGAACATACTTGATTGACTGCAGGTAGCAGATTTCCTCTTATTATTCATGTAATCTGATATTTCCATATGAAGATAGCAGCTATCTTGGACAGAGCGGAGACAGCTAATGCAGAAGCAAATAGTAGGCTCATCTCTATGCAAAATCAATGCATCATTATCACCTAATGGCTACTGAGATTTCTTCTGTTGGCAAAACACAAACCCAGGGGACAGAATTCCTTACACAAAGGTATTTTAGGATTTGTTATAAATGGCAGTCACTGTAGCATCTAGGCACTAATACTTTATACAGAGCTAAAAATTATGGTCAGTTTTTCCCACTATTAATTGTTTGTTCACATGAGGAAGTTAGCACTGTATGGCAGGGCATGAGTTGTTGTTAACTATTTCATATTAATTTCATGTATGGATATTTGTTATGAGACAGCTGATTGAGAAGAGGAAAAAAGCCCTGCCTTGTCTATTTGGAAACAGTGTGTTTACAGCAACTGCACCATAAAAACACACCATACCTCAGTGTTTGCTAGCTTCTACATATGGACAAGGTCCAAGGAGTGATTTCAGAATTGACAAAATTCCAGAGAAAACTGACAATGTTTTAAAACAACATTACAGCAAATTATTTATGAATCTGCTGGTATCCTTCCTGAATAGAAAGCTACACAGAATATTGTTGTTCTCTCACAAAAAGTAAAATGTGTAAGACTTCCAATAATCTCACAAATGTTCAATTCATACTGATTGAACAAATGATCTGATAGAAATAACAGTTTTAAATAAGCAGTACATTCTAGTCTGTCTAGTCACAACTGTGGCAGCTTTTAAATGTAACATAAAATGATTGAAAGTATACTTGGTTGTGTAGTTTTTGTGATAGTCACAGTGTGCTTGAAATGTGTTGAGTTTTAACCAGCATAATTTAGACCTGCAAGAGATGCAAGTTCAGAACAGATGCACTGTATGGCATAGTGAGTAAAAAAAAGTCCATTTCAGCAAAGAAGTGTAGTTAAATACCAGAGTGTCTACAAGGCTAACAGTACCAAGATGTTACACTGATACGATTTATGTGCTTAGACACAATAGTTAATTAACTTACTTTTCACAGTCAGGAAATAAACACCATGAAAAAACTTCTAAGCAACATGAACAGAACCACAAACTTCCCATAAAGATTCACAGTTCTGTCCCCTTTCCCATAGAATGTAAACTAAGGATGGTATTGACCTAGGCATTCCTTTGTTGAAATTTGCCTCATCTCCAATGTTCAGTTTCTGGGCTGCGCTGTTCTTTCTATGCATAACAAATGTTACACAACACAACACAGCACGTGTAGAAGAAGAAAAAAAGTCACGAAGTCTGGTACTTTGTATAAATGCATTCGTCCAAAGGCCAGCATCGCAACAGACAAGGGAAGTGGAACTTTAGCTGTGATCTTCAAGAGTTTACTGTAAGAATATAAAGAAAAATTGCCAGTTTTGTAGCCGCATATGCAGAAGGTACGCAAATACCATGTTTCACTTTCTTTTGAAAAGTAATTTCTAGATTTCAAGACTTTGTTAATTTTTAATAAGGGAACAAATAGGTCTAACTGGCAATAACAACATGCCTAAGAAAGAAAAATTATTCCAAAAGACTGATAAAATGTAATTAAAAAATATATTCATTTAGAAAGAAGACAAAGATTTAATGCTTTACATCATTTGAATTAACAGGTACTGGTCAAGAGGATAAACTATATTGGTTATTATTCATTGTCTTTCATGAGGCACTGACTAATTGTATATCTGAACAAGAAACACTATTACTGTCAACAAAAACAAGAGCTCAAAACTTATTAATCCAGTAGAAAGCACATTTCCTTCCACAAGTGTGTCCATACAGAGGAGTCACAGAACTTAAGTATACTGGTTTAGAATCCACTTTTCCTTGTAACATTTTGACAACCACTGCTAAATGCATTAGGATTCTGTATCCTTTGGAAGGATTCAATGAATTATGAATGAAAAAGTCACAGTTAAAGAAGACTATATGTGATCGATGGTTTAGATAGCAAATACTTCATTTAAGTCCATGTGGTAAACAGAGGTGATTTTCTCAGGTTGGGTAAACTACAGGTAATTTGCATGCATTTTATTTAGTCTTTAAGATTTAACCCTACAAGTTGATGAATCTCTGTGTAGGCTGAACAGTTATATGTCTGTGCAGCATAAATTAACTTTTATCACACAAATGAAGTAGTAAGAACAAAGCAGGGAAACAAAAACTGGAGATTAGGCTACATACAATACCTTGATTTCACTTCAGAGGAACTTGAATTCATGAGAATTTCTAAAATGCATGTGATGATAATAGCTGTAGATCTACATGGATCAGGATCAAGTTTAACATTGTACCTGCAAAGAAACAGTTTAAAAAGCATGTTATTTCTAAGCTAGGCTTCCAAATAAAAAACAACTTGAGAACAAGCATGTGCTGATAACAACACACACACATGAAATACATATGGAATTGCAGCCAGATTTTAAATCCTTTCTGAAGCATTACTTTCTTCAATGGATCATTGATTCACTTAACACCTACTTATACCATAACATAAATCAGATTGTGTAGAAAAAATCCAATTACAATATCAAAGAGTTCTGTTAATTATAAGGTAGCTGATCATGTTAAGAGTCAAATGTTAGCATTTTTTATTATCTTCCAAGTTTCATATTCTTTTCTTCAACCTTACTGGCAATTTAAGAAGTTACCTGAGATTTTTTAACCAATAAATTAAGGATGGCAAGTTGAGCAGCACGATCCATGTGAATAAATTAAGAATTGTAACATGCATCTTAAGACTGTTAACAGCTTCAGCAATGGTACTGCTGGAAAGAGACTGTGTTGCTTCTGGAATACTGTCCACTGAACTCTGGTTTTTGACTGTGTGTATCCTGGAGTTCTGTGAAGTTTCTTTTGAGCAGCCTGAATCCTGAAAATAAAAGACAGAAGTCAAAATCATGACTTGTAAGAACAGGGAGAGGGAAAAGCTATCAAAACAGTATCATACCACCTCCATTTTAAGAAGAAAATTTGCAGTTTATGCCTCAAAAAACAAAGTTCAATAGTTTAGATTTAAAGCATCTAGATTTATACAGAAATTTCTCATGCACTTATAGCTTATATGTCTTTGGAAGAAAATAATAGAAAGTGGAGATGCCCTGACAATGCAGTGATAAGAAATGGAGTTTCTGGATGGAGGAAGAACAGAATAAAAGGAGTAATAAAGCATGCCGGGGAAAAATCACAGATGATCATTCATGGGAAAAGATACAGGAGGTAATGCAACTGCAACAAGAAGTAAAATATCAGCTGTAGGAATAAATAAAATAGATAAACTAATGAGTTGGCACATGCTGTATTCCAACAGAAAAAAAAACAACACAAAACCCAAAACAACCCAAACCACACAAATGAAACAAAATAAAACTATATGGACAGGGAAGAAGGGAAAGAGAGGATTTAAAATTAAACACACAAAAACCACTCAAAGAAAACCATAGAAAACTATCAACAACTTTTTCTGGCAGACTGTTTTTTTAAACTATGTTCTATGTTTGCAAAAAATAACAGGTAGGTATTAAATGCTTATATCCACACCTGCTTACATCTTAGATCTTACACCTTAAAGTAACTGGAAAAAAGAAACTAAGTTCACAATGCATGAAATCTCAATGCTTCTTCACTCCTTTTTAAACAGCTTCAAAATATATTGCAGCCCATAGCCATCTAATAAGTCGTATTTGTCATCCCCCGATTAAAAAAATCCCCCTAAACTCCACAAACTACCTATCTGAAAAAAAAAAAGTATGTACCTTTAGTATAGACGTTACCTAGAAATTCTTCTTTTAGGTAAGACATGCATAATCAAAACCCAACATTTAGACAAAAACCATTGTTGCTCTGTATGTATTCATAGATTAAATTTTCTTAAAGATACTTCAGACAAGTTTGCACTGCAGTGATCTTGAACAGGGAATGCCATGGTCACATGCAATGGAACAGGCTACTCATGCCCTGGCTTTTCTTTCACATTATGCACACAGTAAGTAAACTACAGCCATCCAGTCATCACAGCACAAGTTAATACTGCACCAAGGCAAGATGATAACAAGTCATAATTCATAGGTTTGCCAGGCAATTTTTGGTCACAGTTCTGACGAGGAAACAGACCTACCCCATTGAGCGTGTTTTGTTCTGATTTTACATTCATGTGCAGTTTTATAACCTGCAAAACAAACAGTTCAGCTTTCTTAATAATGCTTCTTCACACAAAAGCCATAGTTAGAAGAAAAAAAGAAAAATGGGGTTAGTTTTTGTCTCTTTTTATAGTTAGATGATTCCAGGGTCCCAGTGGAGCTGCAAAACAAGAATTCTCTCTGCCTTTTTTATCAGCAGTACCCAAAGTGCTCTATTAAAGAAGGATTTCCAAGCACAGAGAGAAAACTTACGCTGCTCTGCTTTCTCCCCTTTCACTGTGCTCAACAGAGAATACAGAGTAGAAAAACTGGCATACTCATCACCTCCTCCTGCTAATTCAGTTCTACTTCACTTTCTGTAGAAACCCATAAATGGGCCATACAGGAACCATATCAGATTTACTGCAGAAGGGCAAGTATTGTCAGCATGGGGACATCCTTCACAGGGTAACCTTATGTCACAGAGAGCTCAATTAGAGATAGCACTGTTCCTCAGGCTCTGCTTTCAGCTGCCACCTATCTGCTTCAGATCACCTGTAAGTTGCTCTGCTTTGTGCCCCTACTTCCAGACACATGCTCCAATGCTTCCCTAGTAGCTAAGTATAGTAGCTGATTTAACAGCTATATAACCGTAGGGTGAATCAGGTAAGTTAGAAGCTCTGATGCAAGGAAGACCATGGAAACTGAATGGCAGGGACTAAATATGGATCTTCGTGGCACTACACAAACGATTATATTAGACATAAAATAAGACTATCCTAGTTCTACAATATATAGACCCTCCTTCCTTTTACTCCATGAAGATTTGGGGGAAGTCTTTACAGACAGAAAAAGTATTCTACAGAACATATCAAGTCAAACCTTTGCTAAAGTTTCTCTTCAAGGGAGTTAACTAGTCTTTGATTTTAGAACATTACCTACCCATAAGTTAAAAACTGCAATGATATGTGGGCATACAGGACTGTGCATTTCTTTAGAAGTGTTATCAAAAGAAGAAAAATAATTCTAAAAATTACAAGATTAAAAAAGTCTAATAAGTTCAAAGCCGACCTATTTCAAGTATGCAAATAACATTTCTTTTAAGCACAAACCATGGTAATCTGTAGTTTTGCTTTTAACATGGGGTTAATTCAAAGCATACTAAATTTTTAATTCAGTTTTCAATTCAAAATGTTTAGCCTTTCAGTACCTTAAACAAGTATTGAAGATAAACAATGACTACAGCAAGTGCACCACAAGTGATCCAGCTAACTAGAGCAAGGGATAACGCCCCACAGAGTCTTCTGGGTGTAATCAACTTATCTTTTTGAAGCACAGGAGGTCTATGAAAAGAAACAAAAACTGCTGTTACACTTTTGCAACAACACCAGACCTACAAAGATAAAACATAATTCTGTTTCATGAATGACTGGAAAGAATCAATTTTTCCTGAATATTGATTAAACACAGGAAAAATAAAGTTAAGACAAATTTTAACACATATACCAACATCTACATAAAGTAATTGCAAGAAAAACTTTCATATTAAATGAACAAAACTATCTTGAAAAAAGCATTCTAGAATGCATGTCTGCAATGTATTATTTTTACTTCATTTGGGCAACATAGAGGAATTATCACTGAATATAAAACATTAGGTAATGCTAACTACAGATCTGCAGTTAGCAGATCTGACAGCAGTTAGATCAGTCACCAAATTCTTCTGTTCAGCCCAAGAGAAAAGTATCTAATTGCTTCACAGATGCATCACAAAAGTGACTCCTATAGACACATTACCACACTGCAGCATTCAGTTATCATACAAAAAACAGTATATAACAGAAAATCTCCAAGAGATTAATTCTGTGACAAACATTCTTCCCAGACAGGAATTTCTGCTTACTCATAGTCTGAGGCACAGAAAAGCTTATTTGAAGTTTGTGGGGTCCAGCTGATATGACTAACAGGCAGATATGAATCTGAAATGACCAAAATGAACTGAGAAGGTGTGACCATGAGGGGAATGCAGTGGGGAGGAAGTGCAATAGAACTATGAAAAAGTTTGTACTTCTTGGACATTCATGGGATATCCAGTATTAAAATAGGCATTGAGAACAGAAAAAGCATTGGAAAATACAATTTTAAAAGCCTTTACAATAAATATTAAAAACCCAAACCAAATAAATAACCCACCCACATAGAAACAAACCCCCTCCACAAAAAAAGGCTCTCTGAAAAGGACAAAAAAATTCTTTGCTGCTGGCCCATCAGGTCATTTCAGAACACAGCACAAAAGTCAAGAGAATACTCTCTACTTTGGAGAGATTTGTAGAAAAATAAATGTTTATTTTTTTTTCCCCAAAAAAAAATTCAGGAGAGGATGAAAAAACTGTGTAAGGCATTAGAACTGTGTAAGGCACTAGAACTTCAAAATGAACCAGCTGACTTACTGTGAGCACAAAAAATCCTACTTTCCTGCCTCTGCCTAAGGCATTCTTGGGGTTTGCCGGAAATCAAAAACTTACATGAAGAAAGTATGAATTGAGCCAAACCCCTTAAAAATTAAGAGGCAGCTGTTTCAAAATTTAGAAGTTCATCCTTTTGTCACTTAAAGCTAATAGTGAAGCATCCACTAATTTAAAAACAAGGTGGCTGAGAAGAAACAGCTGACACCACATCTATTATTTGGTAGAATAAGACCAGAAATGCTAGCAATGAAAAAAGAAAGAGTTCATTTAGTGGATATTTTCTGAGTAAAGTCCATCCCAACCAACTTTCTGGAGGTACAGAGTTGACTCAAATGTAGCTGAAGACTCTCACTAGTGTCAGAACAGTCAAACATGCATGTTATCCAATTTACTAATTTACTCCTTCAAAATTTTTTTATCTTTTCTTGTTTTTTTAAAGTCACTTTCATATTTGAGTACTCATCGATACAAAAACATTCCAGTGTTCTTGATTAAACATGATTAATGTCTTGTGGAGTGAAATGAAGATCCAAGAAGTTTTTGTTTTACAAGCCTCTTTGTGTTCTTTAATGCAGTTTACCCAATTATAAATAATGAGGAGTGGATTGCAGTGTTTACAGTCCCTTTTCTAACTATATACATTTATTTTTTGAGCTGCTGAAAAGAACAGGTCAGTTGCTTCTTCTGCAACAATCCTTCCTCAAAACCAAACTGAACACTTTTATAACAGCTGGTGAAAGAAATGAGAAAGCCATTTGTATTCCTTTTTGGAAACATGGAATAAGGAATATGGGGCAATATTCATGCTTCATTAGTACTTATCAATGACAAACCCACATGTCTAAAATCAGGTATGAACTATATATTGCAGGATTCAGTATGCCCAAGTATTCACACTGATGCAAACAGAAAAAATTGACAGGGTCACAACCAGCTAAAAGAGCATAATTGTACAGTACAATAATGTTTTACCTCATCATAGTTAACCATAGTGAAGAGAAGAGTCTCAGAGATGTAGAGAAAAATACTCCACTCCAGTAGGCAATGCCTGTCCCAAAAAGAAATAGAATCAGGGACACAAGGGGGAACCATGCATCCCGACTGCTCAGTACAGCAGCATCCATCTCTGGTAGTGACAGTGATTCCCATCTCTCTCTAAACCAGTTAAACCTGCCAAAAACATGAAAGCAGTATTACTTTTCATTTCCAATTGCTGTTACAGTAAGATATCTGTCAACAATTCCTCCTCCAACAGTGTTTCAAACAAAATCACAGCAAGGTGATCACAATGACTACAGATAAAATATTGTTCCTCCCCACCAATATTCTTACTGAAATTTCTGGTTTGGAAACTGCTTTAAATAAATAAGTTATGCAAACTCACCCCTGCAGAAACACAACAATGCTTATAAGAGGTTCTACTTTGTAGGGTTTAGCTGTCCTAACTAGTTCAAGGGAAAAGTCTGAACACTGGCCTAGAATCAAGAACAGAAAGCATCTATAGTTATTATTTTGCCATGAATTTTAACAAAGAAGGCACATAACAAAAAGTACATTCAGACAAAGGTTTGAAAGTTTACTTTAAAACAAAATAACTTTCTAACAGCAGTATTGCAAGTCAGCATACTCCATCATCAAGGCCTGTATTCACTAGATTGCCCATTTTAGGTAATATGTCACCAGAGCTTCTAGAGAGATTACAGTGTTGGTTATGAACACCACCGGAATTTAAACAAAAATGTATTTTGCCTGATGTCTAAAAGTTAGTCTGCAACTCTCATCTTCATGCATGAAATAAAGTGTTTTGTGCATATTAACAATATGTTTTAAAATTTTACATGTATTATTTAAGTAGATCTCCATTAATTCTAACATACTGTGCAACAGTAATCATTCACAAAGAAGGGGCAGCAGAGTAAAACAGTAAGGAGACATTCTGCTACACCACAACCTAGAAGGACTATCAACAAAACCTGGAACTGAAGAACATAGATCTAAGTACATGCACAAGTTCAATGATACTTAGATTAAAAAATGCACAACAGTCAGCTAGTTTTTCAACAATAAATTGGCTAACTTCTCTAAAAAGACTTGATAAAAGAAAAAGATTCTACAAAGCTACCTGTTGATACCAATGTGCTCAATTGTCCTCCATAAGTAAGAAGAATATTAGAAACAATATAGGCCGGAAGAGCACCAGCATGGAACCTTATAAGCTGAAAGGCAAGGATATAATGATAATTTTTATATATAGAAAAATATAGGAAAACCACACATAAAAATACTATCTTGAAGCCAGCATGATAATACGATTAGAAATACTTTCTTAAAAGATTCAAATAGCTTCTTATTTAGACACATAAGTATCTGATCACCACAATTGGCAATTACCCTTATCTACAGAAAATACTCAGATCTCTCATAAATGTATTTTAATTAATGAACAAATTATAAATGAATGCTATTTTTCTAGTCAAAATAAATATTAAAATAATAATTCCAGGAACAGTACCATGTTAATGGTGTTTCAGTAAGATAAATCAAAAATATTAAAAGGTCACTTTCCAAGCAAAACCTGCATATATATATATATATATATATATATGCTCTTCAGTAAAGAATGTTTGGAAGCAATTTCATGTATGTTTTGACTGGCTTTCACTGTCCCTAGTCATAATTAATGTACAAATAACACAGATTTTTCTAAAATAGCAACCAAATGAAAAGCCCTTCATATAAATGCATACATTCAAACAGAGGAATTTGTCAGTAATATTCCTAGCACTACACTTAGGTGCTTGCAAATTAATTGCATTTCACAATTCAAATGTAATGTAAATACATTACAATTTCAGGAAACTGCAGGCGGCTGGTCTATTTTTACCGATATCAATGTTGCAATCTATTCTTCATTGATAACCAAAGAAAATTTGTTGAGAAGGAGCATATGGATTTACTTAAGACTCTTCCTCCCCATCCCCAATACTTAGTGGATGCCAAATACATTTTAAAGTTTTAACACTACTGACCCATCAGGCAACAAAGTGAAAGTGACCTACAGCGTCATCCCTTTGCAGGTATTCTGCTAACCACAAAGTCAAGTGCTCAACATTTCCATTAGCTCTTTAGAGCTTGAGTGCTTTTCTGCTCCTCTGAAAACTGAGCCCTGACATTTATCCGGATGGGATGCCTTGACAAGTGAGAAGGTTTGAAACGATCGTTGAATAACGATCCTCTTGGCATCAGGAAGGAATCTGAAGTGCCATAGGAGGGAAGGGAGGAAAGGAAAATTTCTATAGATGCTACTGACAAAAACCAGTCTAGTAGTAGAAGGTTTTCTTACTTGCCCAAGAACCTGTAAAAGTGAGGTCTTCAGAATTACCTTAATAAATGACAAAAAAGAGAAATATTTTATTAATTTACATAATGGTATGCATAATTAAAAATATTTTTATTTTTGAGAAGCCAATTTCAGTATTAGAATACAGCAATCCCATAACTAAAATGTACAACAACTTACTACTTATTATTAAAACCCAAATGTTTCAGTTTTCTCATAGAAAATGAGTCTAACTTTCAATACTGCTCCAGCTGTTGCACAATACTTGGAACATGCACTCCATTTCCAAAAAGGCCAAACAACCAATCTTTAGATTTGTTTTAGTATTTATTTTGATTAATTAGCTACACATTTTAAAGACTGAATTATGCAAAAATTATACAGCAATTCGAACTAGCTATAAAGTAAATGGGTATTACTCACTTCGTACTGACAGTCTGAGGAAGAGTAAATATTTAACTCTGGAACCCTGCTCTCATTCTGAGGCTGAGCACTATGCAGCTTTGCAGAAATCTCAGTTGAAGATGGAATTCTGAAACAACAACTCAATTTGTAACTGTTGTCCTTACAATCAAAAAAACCCAAACACGCCTTAGTCTTCAAAAAGTGCACATAAAGCAGACTCACTACACAAGCGTTACCACAAGCTATGAGGAAAATGGTACAATGAACTTGTTTATCCTATCACAAAGAACTACATAATATCCTCAGTCCACAGCTCCCTGAACTATGAAGGTATAATGAACATGGTACTAATGACAATAGACAAGTTTAGCATTGCTGTACACACTGCCTCACAGAACATGTAAATATGCTGAGTAACAAGAACAGGAAGGCCAATTCTCAAGAATACAATTCAGTTTCTTGCAAGTATTATGCTGTTAGAAAAGACCCGGGGGAGGGGGGGGGGGGAATAGGGAGGTATCCTGAAGGTAGGCAGTTTTCCAGCTATCTAAAATAAAGTCAGGTTGTTTAACTGCGATTCACGAGTGACTCATGTTTCAAGCCATATCATTTGATTTTGTCAGGACTATGCTGCTGAAGCAATTTAGGGCTGCTGTGTAATCCAAACCCTGGTTTACAGGGAGAAGACAGCATCCATAGCAGCCTCTAATCCCCACTCATGAAGGGTCGAAGACTATGCAGAGAATTTCAGACGAGCAAATCTGACTTCCTTTTTGAGCAAATCAGTGGGAACTATTAAACAAAGAATTAGTATATATTCTTATTCTGGGGAAAATTCAAAATGACCTTGTCAACAATGGCAGAAAAGTAAATGAGGAAAAGATGCAGAAGCCAAACTCATAACTGAAGAAGTTACCTCATCAGAAATATGAACACAGTGGCATGCAATCTGTCTTCAAAAATCTATCAAGAAATAAGTTACAATTGTTGAAGCCCTTACTTTGCTACAATTATGGAGTCTTCATGTGACCAGGGTATATGAAGTCTGTAAACACTAGGTGTTCTTTCTGAAATGGAAAAGAGTTAAAAAAACACAAAGAAGAACAAGATGTGGCAACTATCTCCAACACCTAAATGCAATTAAAACGGAGGTGGCACGTAGATTGCTACACAGAATCACTGGGCTTACAGTAACATTGCAACTGACATTGAAATGCAAATCAGTGCAGTTAGCACTGAACAAAAATGACTTTTTTTTTAACTCATATTGTTACAGAACAAGACAGACACACATCAGTGTTTAAAGGCAGGACAGTTATGAGAAAACTTCTAGTTTTCAACACAAAGCTGTAGATTCAAGCTAATAAATCAATCACTTTTTTTTTTTAAACAAACTCCTTTAGCATCCCATTTTGTTTCAGTTTCTGTAGCTCAACATTCAAATTTGAGCCACATAATTAGCAAATAAAAATCCCAGCCAGATGTTGTATTCTTAAGAAACACTTTCAACATAACGTGGAATCCTACTGAAAGTTCAACTTCCCTTTGCTGAGATGTAAGAAAACCAAACAAATGAGGACTAATTCCAGATTTTCTTTGAGCTATTCTTCTTAACAAAAAGTGGAAAGTTGAGAGATATTAGCAGAAGCATTTGAAGAGATAACAGTATTTCCTAAACCCCACTACATGGGGGGACTTTTGCTTCCATCAGCTTTTGTCTTGAGAATTTTCCTGGTTTCCTCTGGGATAGATTTGATTTTCTTCCTAGTAGCTGGTGCAGTGCTGTGTTTTGGCTTTAGTCTGAGAACAATGCTGATAATACACTGATGGTTGAGTTGTTGCTCAGCAGCATTTACCCTGATCAAGGACTGTTCAGTCTCTCATGCTCTGCCAGTGAGGAGGGACACAAGGAGCTGGGAAGAAGCAGAGACAGGACACCTGATCCAAACTATCTAAAGGGGTATTCCATACCACAGCACATCATTCCCAGTATAAAATACGGGGGAGTTACCCAGAAGGGACCAGTCACTGCTTGGGTCAGGGTGGGTATCTGTCAGCAGGTGGTGAGCAATTGTATTGTGCATCACTTGTCTTTCTTGGGGTTTACTTCTCTCCCTCTTTTTGTTGTCCCCCTTTTCATTACTACTACTACTACTATTTAACTTTATTTCAATTATTAAACTGTTCTTACCTAAGCCCACAGGTTTTACCTTTCTTTTCCTCACAATTCTCTTCCCCAACCCACAAGGGGGGAGGGGTGAGTGAGTGGCTGCTTGGTACTTAGTTATGGCTGGGTTAAACCACGACACTTTGTTTTATAAATATGTACTTTAGAAGACTTCCATTTACCTTTGAGTGACTGGCAGTGGCTCTCTATATAAATTTTGAAAGCTTGATATATCTAGAGCATTAAGAAAAAAGGGAAAAAAAAAATCATTTACATTCTCCAAACAGTGGTTACATTACCCAAAAAAATGAAGTAGTGTTCTTACTCGGTTGAAGTGCTGGAGCTGTACATTGTAAAGTAAGCCAGTTGAATTTAATAGAATTTTGCTTGAAGAAAGCCCTATAAAGGATGTATTATTTTCACATATTAGATAAAATTATTTGAGAACTCACTGCATCTTCTGATATTTTTTTCCAGGAGACTCATGTGCTTCTATATATATAAATATATTAGTCAAAATCCCCACATTTCTTATTTGTCTGTTACTAACAAAAGTAGTATTAACTTCAGTAAAAACAAACCACAAAAAAACCTCCTGATCATGGGAATTTTTAGGCACATTTATGATCCAAATATTAGTAATATTAGTTTTCCATTTTTTCCCAAAAGTAATGAGCTATACTTACCAAATGAAAACAGATGCGTTACAGGAAGCTGTACTGTTCTGGAATCCTCTTTGAAGAATTCACACTTCAAAGTATACTGCAATTCAGGATATCAAATAGAGATCTAAACCAAGCACAGGACTATAAAGCCTTTGCATTTGCCAGATTCTATTCACAGGCTCAAGCAGAGTCCAAGACACAAACACTGAAAAGCCACCTCTCTGCACTGCACTGATAGTGTGAACAAACAACTGGCAGGTAGTTTGTTTCTGCACACAGCCATACAAGCTTGGGTAGCTTAAGCATAACTTCCAGGTTACTTTAGCTCTCACCCATTTGCAACAGCCTTCAAAAGGCTATTCAAACAGCTGAGAATTACTAAAATCCAGTTCACATCCCGGCTTCTTGGGTACATCTTTCCTTTTATTTGGGGGCAGGGAGGAGGTTTGAAAATGACAGCAGTTTCTCCAAACCCTGAATACAATTTCCTAAGCAAAAAGAAACTTTAGTTTGTCTCCTGAAGTTTAATCACGCAAAAGCAAACCAAAGTATCCAGCAGGTATGATTTGTACCATCTCTAATAAGCATTTAGTTCACTTGAAAAATATTTTCCACCCCATTGTAAATCCAGCATTTATTTACTTTTTAAAAGCAGTTTCCAAGCTTTAACACTGGACTGCAACTTAGCATTTCACAAATGAGCTCTCATCTATCTTTGCTAATCCAGAATGTTGCGTATTACTAATTTAACTGCAAGACGTCTCTGTCACAAGTATCTGGAGATACACTTAGAGTTGAGAATTGTAATCACTTCAGCTGTGAATAATTTCTTGTTTCATGGATTATTATACCAAAGCGGCAGAGCCTGCATTTGTGTTGCAGAAAGGAATGTCATATCTACTTAGATTTTATATCCCAGTTCAGAGTTCTGCCATTTTCAAGACTCACTAGAAAGGCCTGCCAGACCTAGCTGGGCAATATGCAGTGTCTGCTTAGGTTCATTGCAAGTGTTTCTCTTCCTGGTATCCTGAGAGACCTTGATGCAAGTATATCCAACTCATCTGTGAGATTCAGAACTATTAAACTTTGCACAGTTCAGTCTACCACATTATTTGTGGTGTCAGAGCTTGTAAAGTTATCTGCGCCATGCTTCTCCCCTCAATCCATATGTGGTGCCTTTATCTATGGCATTTTCTGCTAGCCCGGATAACAGAACTGACTGCTCAAAAAGATAAATATTCAGTAACTCAGTCAGAATATCAAGAAAAACAAGTAAGAATATTAGAACTTCCAATAAGAAGTGTTTTGAGAACTGTTGCTTTGTATGTTTCAGTATTAGCCATGTCTCGCATTTGGCATTTTATCAAGTGAAAATATTTCTGTGCTTATAGAAAATAAAGTTACATTCAAACCACACTGGAGCATAGGTCTATGGTTTCTAACTTGGCACACATTTAATATACTTCCTTTTCCTTCCATCATGGCATCTGAAAGCTATGAACACACTAGGCAAGCAATTCCTGCATTTAATGTTTTTGTTTACCTTATTGCCAACTGTGGGTGGTACCTGAATGACAATGTGGGACAAAGAAGGATGGTCCTGAAGTTTTAGCATGACAACCTTAAAAGGAAAAGAAAAACTAAAAGCCATTACCAAGCATACCCCTTAGCTTGCCCCTCTCCAGTTCCCAGATGTCCACCTCTTGGACCCCTTCCTTTAGAGTAAAACTGCATATTCCAATGCTGTAAACAGAACAGATCCTTCTCCCATACATGCTGCTACCCCAGAAAGCACCTCTCCCTCCTACAAGTTATGTTCTATACTTACCTTGGTGGTTGGAAGTAACTCAGCTTTCCAGGATAAGTCAGTAGCTTCCAGGCTGTAAAAATTCATTCACATTAAAGGATGAGCATATTCATTATGCAGGTATTACAGTACAACAGTAGACTAACATACCAGCTTTCTTCTATCTCGGTATGGATTCATGAGATTTTAAAATAAGAACAAGTTTGGGCCTACTGCACTTAGTTCCATAGTAACTTATCAAACTGTGATCATTGCAAATACTGCAAATCTTGGTTTTGCAAAAACAAGTTAAGTAAAGTTCTAACTTTGTCATACATAAAACATTCAGCAGTTATTAGCCATGTAACTGTAGACACATAATGAAAATTCATAATAAGCTAAACCAGCACTGGCATTGAATGAACAGTTTTATTAGCATCTTTTGAACATCAAAAGTACCAATTTTTCCTATGGGAACATCTAAAACATACCATATAAATCAAAAATTGTTAGCTGCTACAGAGCTAACAATGCTAAAATGATATATAAACTAAAACTAGAACTAAAGCAATTCTAAAATGATATATATTTTATTCAGTTAATACATTGAACTGCAGTTGTTATAAGTTATGATTTTTTAGAATACCGGGATATTTCTCTCTCCCTAAATAAATTGTGTTACATGATCTCAGGATACAGTCCACAGCATAACCACTATTATTAGATGAGATTTTAAGGTAGCAGTCCTGAACTAAGCTAACCTGCAACTGATGCTGATCAAAGGTTATACAAAGGAGTAACAGCCAATTTTTCCATGGATCAGGAAAAAGTAATTATGACTTCTGGCTGTCTGCTGAAGGCAAGACCCAGTGGCTATATACCTCAGCACAGACCCCAGAACAGATAAAACACTATAGCGCAATTCCACCTGGAAGCTTTCCCTAATCTGAAGGGTCAATTGAATTTACTTTGAGCTTCTTTTACAAATGTAAGCTAAGCCAGTGTTTTAGATTAATTTTGTAAGGATTGTAACAACCTGATTCAAATAATCACTAAATCCACCCACATTTCTACATATTTTTCATATGACAACAGGAATTTTGAAATTATTAAAAAATAAAGCAATGCTTCAATCTACTCTGTTAAAAGCTTGGAGTGACATTTGATGTATTCTGTCATAGGATTTCAAAGAGACGCTTTAGAAGATGTAAAGATGTAGAGAGAACATGCAATTTAGGGAATCCAGCTCAGCACACAGCACCCACAAGAGAGCAAGAGCAAGTTCTCACCCCTATGAAGGTCAGAAATATAGCTTAAGAAAAAGTTTGACTATTCTGCATTCATGCAGTAATTTTAAGAAAACCTATCCTTCCCTGGATTTTTGGTGATACAGAAAGTATGAATTATTCACAGTAAGAAATTTACTTCCCAATAGCTTTCTCCCTAAGGAGGAAGATATCTTACATGATTTAAATTCAAATGTAGTCCCACAAGATCCATTTGAATATAGCACAGGAACTGTTTATACTCACCACATTGGTGAATTACTGTTCATACAGCCAAAAATCCAGCTACTTGTGTCCTGTAAAGTCAATACCATAAACCAGTACATTACATATGTAAGTACCCATATTTATAGATAAATACATTAAAAATAGCAATTCTTTACTCCAAACAATGCAGGAGTTAATACTGATAATCTTCTCCAGTTTCTACACGCTAGCTGTTTCAGTGCATCATATGTCAGCAACTGTCCTAAAAATCCTCACATGGCTGAATCTTGGTGCAATTAACTTAGGGAAAAGAGGAACAAACTTCCATACTCATCTCACTCCTTTTCTATTAAGTGTGCCAGCAGCAGCTAACACTATAGTGACCAAACCCTAATAAGGATATCAAATGCTAAAGTGTAAAAGCAAGAGACAAACACAGTCTCTCAGATTTCTGAGATACTGAAGGTGCCACTGGGAAGAACAACTAGAAAAGCACAAAGAAAATACTATCTTTTTTTTTTTCCCACAGTGGTGATGTGACCCTCTTTGGTAAGGGAAGGAGTGGCAACCAGGACAGGCAGGATGGAATAGGAAAGCATCTCAATTTTTGTTGCCACTCATCTAAAATACATTATTCTGAAAAGCATATTTACCCATCTCCAGTTTGCCAAGATATTATATTCATTCCTTTCAAAAAAATATTAAAAACAAAACCATTTTGGTTGAACCTATGTGTCTTAAGCTAAAAATCTAAGAAATGCACGTTATGACCTCTCCTCTCAACACGGGAGACAACTCAGAAGTTGCTGGCTTTTCCTCTGGCTTCCACTTTGTTCCACTGCTTAGTGGAAGACCTCTGTAGCCTTTCAGGCCCACTTAAATTTTATTCTGGGAAAGCAAACTTATAAACATCTTTGTGAAATTAGAAGTATGGCTGAATCTTGGCAGCACTAAAAATAACTTCTTCATTCAAAACCATCAGTACAGAACTGCACTAAATTAAAGGAGAAAGTCATCTGGGGGTAGCCATAAGAGAGGCAAAAATAAAACATCTAAGGTTTTATTCAATGCCTTCAATGCCATCAGGTGGCATTGAAGGTTTCAGATCTTGAACACTAAGTGTGATGTGATAAAACAGGAAGTACATCTAACACAATGAAGCTGTGAACGTAAATGGATGGCAGCAATTTCAACAACTGTTCATTAAACTGTCTTAAAACTGCAATAGAACTGAATACAAAAAAAAGCAGCTTTATAAACAAACTCAAGACATTAAAGAAGTATTTTCTCACCAACAGAGTGCTTTCACAGTAAACATGACTGTAGGATTTTCTGTGACTTGCAAGAGGAAATGTGAAATATTTTCCATCAGAATCCTTAAAAGAAAAAAAAAAAACACAAAAACTGCTCATCAGTAAAAAAAAAAAAAAATAAATGTAATACACAAGGAGGGAAAAAAAGTTACTTACATTGTAAACTGAGTAAGTCCATTTTGAGGCTTTGACTGTAATCCACGTGAAAGTTCCTAAAAATAAATGGTTTTATATGCCACACTGCAGGAACTATTCTCCTTATTTCCAAAATCTTGTCTTTTACTTATCACCAAGATCTTTTCTCTTACCTGTAAATGGCCATAAAATTTATAAGCTTTAATCATCACTCAGGATTGTTTCTGTTTAGAATTACATGCAACAGCTATCACCGGTTACCTAAGAAACAGCAAAACCCTGGGATCCATTATAACTACTATATATTCACTGTGAAATAAAAGCTTTATGGATCTTGAAATAAAGCTCTCAAGGCAACAAAATGAATTAATATCTGTATGGTATTAATGTTATTACAGGGTGACTGATTAAAGCTGAAGAAACATTAGGAACAGAACATTAGAATCTCTGTTCCTGACTTTTAAGAAAACTAATATAGAAACTTGTGTAGAATCAAGTCCACGACGAAGTGAATACCATGTACAAGAAAAGAGTAGCAGTTTAAAGGTATGTCTGGAGAAAAAAAAGAGTAAGAGAAAAAATGAAGATATCAGAGATATCAACAATGCAAGTTATCATGCAAGAAGGTTTGAATCTTTCTTCTATATAACTAGAGTAACAAGTTCATCATAGAAATTTAGCTGTGTCAGGAAGTCACCACAAATAGGAAGATGCAAACATGAAATCTAATTTAAATCTTTTCCTCTTTATTGCTAAAACCTGACCAAATAAAAAGACAAACAAACAAGAAAATCAGTTCCACAGCTTCTTTGGGCACCTGTTCCAGTGTATACCCCCCCCTCCTGGTGGTCAAACCAGCCAGGAAACTGGCTGGGGTTTCTAAGGAAAAATATGTAATTGGAATTTCTTTTGTTGTAACTGGACTCTACTGCTTGTGTGTTATCACTGTGCACCTATGAGAAAAGTCTAGCCTCACCTCTGCAATCCTTCATTCGGTTTATAAACAAACAGCAACAGGATCCCCCTTAGCATTCTCCTTAGCATGAAAAACCCAGTTCACTCAGCCTCTCTCCCTCATGTCCTATGCGCAGGAGCTAACCATTTTTGTGGGAATGTGCTCCATACTCACTTCAATGCCTAAATGCCTTCTCATATGAGGACAGCCAAAACAGGGCATTGAAGTTCAAACTACCTTAGTAGCTCTGCAAAAGCTTACAGTAAGAAAATTCCTGAAATAAAATGGCTTTCATAAAATGGTTCAGCCCACTTCAGCAAAACTGAGAACACAGCCATGCTCCACAAGAGTTCTGGTTTCTTCCTAAGACTTCATGCAGTCAAATTTCACACCTTTAACTATGCATTCTTAGCACAAGGAAACCATTTGTGTGCAGTCCATTTTACGCTGCCATGTCATGAAAAAAAAAGGAAGATTAAGCAGATCTGAATATTCAGGATTTCCATGAGTAGCACAGAACTAACACAATGGCTCTACACCCATATTATCCCTCTCACAGTCATGGGAAGTAAGCATGTATTAGACTGTACTTTTGACATCCAGCTATTCCCATATTCTGAGATTCTCTACTGAACACCTTGATGTAAATATGACTCCAGCTTGTCTCCCATCATATAAAAATGACAGATTTTCATGTGAAGAAACCACACAAAAGCTCACAGTTTGGGTCTATAACCCATATATCATTTTAGCAATGTCTGAAGAAAGACAAAATGTATTCCAGAAGTTTGTCAGTAAGAAGATGTAACTATTAACAAATGAGTGTCACTGAATCCTGTTCAAAAGAAAAACTGATGCTCACCTGTGAGTTCTGTAAAAGCTTCAGGATTTTCCTCAAATATCTTGGCAGGATGTCTCACAAAGTGGTGATTCAGTACAGACATCCTCTTCTTGGGATCCTCAGTTATCTAAAAAATAGTAAAATAAAATTTGAGAACATGCTTATTTGTAAGTATTGTTATATGACATGATCATAGCTAACAATACAGTTTTGGGGATGAAAGGCAGGAACAATTGCTACAAGACATGGTATATTTACTATTCCAAATTCAACAATCAAAATCATGAAGCGCCATCAGTAGTCAATCACTGCAATACAGAAAGTCTAAACATGTTATGTGAAATATTATGTTATATAATATATAGATTATTTATTATATATTGTATGTAATTAACATATTCTATAACATGTTATAAAGCATAGCTGAAACTTTTAGGAGTTTTATATGCTTGCCTACTCTTAACACAAGGAAACCATTCTACCATACTTTTCTTATAGATGCACATGCATTCTTCCTGAAATAACACATTTATACCAGAGTTTAGGGAAAATCCTCAGTTATATTTACTGGACTGAATTCACAAATCCAGCTTATAACATCACACCTTAACATTTCAAGCATCCAAACAGCTGCAGCGCTACAGTGGGATCTGCTTTTGTTTGGGGTTGTTTTATTTGTTTGGTTGGTTTTTTTTTGGGGGGGGGTGGTATTCAAAATATAATTTCCAGGACTGATTTTTGCCTATTCACCTTTTCAGAATTGTGACATTACAACTGATTTCTGAAAAGTTTTACCTTCCAGGGCTCTGTCAGTCAACTCCAGAACAACTGTACCCCCTTTCTATCTCTTTAAATCACATGTTAGAGCGGATACACCTAGTAAAATAGAGAAGTCAGCCTCAAATTGCCTCAAAAAGAACACCTGGAAGCCTTTCTCTTCTATGTCTGGGGCTCTGCTGTTACATATTTTCAACTTCTTGGACCTTAATTCCAATTTATGTTTAGTGCTTCATAACATCTCAGAAAGAACAGAGTATAATGGCAGATCTCTCCAACAGTTTTCAAAAGGTAAGATGCAGGGTATTTATTTAGAAAAGCAGTAAATAATGGTACCTGAAGGTAAACAGATATGCTAGTATTTTACTTGCATTCTATGCTCCATCCCTGGCAGTGTTCAAGGCCAGGTTGGACGAGGCCTTGGGTGATATGATTTAGCGCAAGGTGTCCCTGCCCATGGCAGGGGGTTTGGAACTAGATGATCTTAAGGTCCCTTCCAACCCTAATGTTTCTATGATTCTATGATTCTATTTTTGGAAATGCTATTTGCAGAAGAACACCACAAATGCATGCAGGCCAATATGACAACACCACATGGCGAGAATTATTATGTCCCAGTTAAACTATCACAGTTTTGCACCCTTTATAGTCAGAGAAGGTAACTTGAACACCCATTGAGAGGTCATTCAAAGCTACACAATAGCAAAATCTGTTTATCATGGTGCAAGGTCAACTAAACCTGCTGCATTATGGAAGAAAAGTGTAACCTATGCCCCAGCTATAAAGCATCAAACAGTCAACAATAAAAACTGAGTTAAACCTAGTTATTTCTGACACATTGGTGAAACAATGCAAAGCCACAGGATTTGTCAGTGACTGGTATAAAACAGCAATAATTTTCTCAGCATGACTCAAAATAATCAAAAAGGAGTTTTCTGTACAATAGGGTAATATTTGTCCTGATTAAGCATTCAGGAATGGAAGTAGAAAGTGTGATGGGGGAATACACAAGAGATCACGTGTACAAACCTGCCTTGTATTTTCATCTATGAGATCAAAAAAAGCTCTAATGGTAGCCAGGATCAATTCTTTGCACCTACAAGACAGAATAAGTAAGGTTAAATCCAGAAAGGAAATATCCAGGGGAATGAAAGTGGTCAGAAGAGATGTTGCAGTAATATTATGCTGAAGTTAAATTATTGTATAATGTGATAACAGTAGAGAACAGAGGGATGGACAGACAGGTGATTAACCTTTGTCATTAGCTTACCACACTATGGAGAGATGGTCTGTTGAGGCCCAAGCTCTAGGCACAGCTGAGCTCTGTTTGGGGAAGGAAAGAAGTGCAGATTTTGTTAGTATTCAACATTTTAAAATTCTAAGCAAGCCTTTCCCCTCCCTATTTAAACATATTTGCATAATTACTAAAAAGAATAATGTTTATCTGAAGCATTTCAGGGACTTCAGTATAATACAATGACTTCTTCAGTCAAAAATCTTACGAGTGCTAAAGCAGTTGAAAACAGAACTTGTAATACAAAATAGCCAAGTTATCTATGTTACATAGCAGACACTACGGTGAAAGAGCAAATAATGGTGTGAAGGAAACTTACCAAAAAATTTCTTTAAAGACAGTTTCTATGACTAATCTTACTATTTTAGTAAGTGATCCTGGCACACAAGATAGAAAGCTGCTGCTGAAAAATCAAGGGCATTCTCAACAGAAAGCAGCATCAGAACATCATGCAGAAAGAACTGGGCAGTTGGAAGCTATTCCTTTGTATAAGTGTATTGCATGTATTGCGTTTTAGGGACTAATAATATCAAAAATGCCTCCCATAAATGGAGCTCATCACCTAGTTGTACAACTTGATTCAAGTAAGCTATGAACTATTAACGCATTACATTTGGGAAGAAAAAAGGCAAACCAAAGCAACACCCAAACCAAACGAAAAATCACCAAAAAATCCCCAAGACAAAAAAAAACCCAAACCAAACTCACACAAGAAAAAACTGGTACCACAACATGAGCAAGATCTCATGCAAAATTCTGGCACCAATACTCAATGGAAATGAAAGTAAAGCAGATGTAGGGAATGGATACTAGGACAAAGGGAATGCAGAGTTAATCTTAGTGTAGCAGGATCAGAGCTGAGGCTATTTATAGACAGCTTTCTGTACAACAGACAGGGAGGTAAACACCAAGGGAATGCAACTATTTTAGACAACATTTCAAGCTGATGTCAGAGCAAATGCAATTAAAAACTGCCTTTTGTGCAGTAAATGGAAGTTGGAAATTAAACATTTTCTCCCTGCTGGGGAGTGTTTTCCAGCTTCACCCATGTAAGGAACAGGTTGATGGCAGGGGGGTGGAATGACAAACCTAACTGCTTTAATTTTGGAAGGAGACAGATGCCTGCAAAAGCAGAAGACTGGACTTGATGATCCAGTACATCCTTTCTATTCCTCAGTACTTTGAAAAGCAATAAATACAAAAAGAAGGCCCCAAACCAAAGCTCTCTTTTATAGCCAAACAGTTTACTTCTATACTGCACATCTGTTAGTCTCCATATACACATCTCTTGCAAAAATGCTGGAAAATGAAACCTGAGTTCTGGATCTGGACAGGTGCAAGAAGGTGGTGAGAAGAAACAGTACCAAGTGGTAGATAATTCAAATCAACCCCAGTACATACTCTTATTAGTGGACACTCATTTATGCTGCATCAACTAGTTCTGATTTTATAACCAACCATATACTACCTACTTTGGGGCTTTATATTTATCATATCCTGCACATATAGACTATAATTAGACACCAATACATGCATTACATAAATAACTATTTAACACAGCTCCATGAAAACCCCAAAAAGTAGTCTGCTTTTTTACCACAACAGATAAGGCACTGTCATGTTGACTTGATCTTGGTAGAAAAGCCAGTCCTGAACGAACTTGGTAATCTCTGAATCCTCCCGCCACAGAAAGGGTAGTTAAATTTCTTAACTCTTGGGCCTTTAGAATCCAATGATTGTTTACAGATGTATAAAAATCTATAAAATATATTAAAATAAATCACAATTTCCCCATAAGTCTATTTGATACACAAAAAAGCTACATAAATGTTTAACTAACAGTTTCTGTAAGTCCCCCCTAGAGGCATTCAAGCTCTGATTATCACTTTTGAGTCACATAAGGAAGGAAAATTATTATTTTAACCCCAAGGAGGTAGCAGTTATGAAAGGCAGATATGCTTACACTTTCTATGTCAGCTGAGCACATATATTGTTACAGTAGCAAGCCATAGATAAATTTGAAGGACAGCCACAGTCCAGAAAGAGTCAGCAAGGAAGAAGCACTGCATTGCAATCAATTGGAGGAGAATTAACATAAGCACAATAAATCAAATTCAGCAGCTGAAGATAATCCATTCCTCTCAGGTGCCACAGAGAATAATGAAAATAAATGTTTATTCCCTTTCCTTCACAAATTACCTAAACATCTACATGCAGCAGCACAATTATCACTGAGCACATTACATCAGCATAGTTTAGACAAATTTAGCTTTTCAAGAACTGTATAGTACCTGCATAATGACAATACTGTGGCACTTTTTTTATGCCACAGCTATTTAGGTGAGCAGAAAATACAATCCATCTTTTGTGTAAATATACTACATAAAATATATAGATAGATCTATATTTAATATTCTCACCCCCCAGACTTTGGGCATGACAAACATTAAATTCAGCAACTTCTACTGAAATCATGCTATTGAGGCAACTCAGTTGATAAAGAATGCCACTGGAGTCACGGTTTACAAAACAGAAAGAAAAAACATCACTCACTGGAGAGCTTAGAAACTTAGTTACACACTCTGCAACTCAGCATAATTACAAATTATTGAGAGTTCCAGAAGCTCAAGTCCCCATAATCCATTTTGTATCACTTTACTTTCTCCCAGCATCCCAGCGCTCTCAACCAACCAGCTGAGTAACAAAGGAATAGATTAGAAAGTAAACTAAAGAGCACCTTTTGCTGTTGATCTGCAAGAATCCCATCTATTAATGCTTGAGATGTTCAACAAAGAAATACAATGTAATTAAATAACCTGCAATACTTACCAGTAAGATATCTGTCCAAAGGCATTACAGGTGCAACATGAGGTGTGGCTTGTGTAATAAGGAGGTTTATAAGTTCAGGCTTAAAATTCTTCAGAGTAAGCAATGCCCTTGCAACAAGACCACCCATGGAATGACCTACTATTACAACACTGCTCGGCGCAAATTCTCGATCCTTAAGCAAAGAGTAACACATCACAAACAGATTTGACACTGAACTATGGTGATACATTTTTTTGCAGCAATTCACTCATTATCTCAAGGATAATATCAACTAGTATCAAACTGACGAGTTTACAAACTGAATACAAATTTATTTGCTGTCTCAAAAAAGCACACTTAACACACTTAACATGAAGTTTCCATCTCAAAAGGAAATATTATATAGCCTGTGCACACATAAGCAATTTAGGCTTATTTTAATTTCTGAGAGTCTTGGGAACATAGAATACCAAAGAACTTTCCTACAGAAAACTGCAAGGATCGTGATGCTGTATTAGTATTTTAATAAGCAAGGGAAAGATAACATCTCTGCTACAAAAAAAGCATACACTGCGCATAGAAGTATTTCTTTAGAAACACAATACAGACCCTAACCAAAGTTCTGGGGTTGTCACGTGTATTAAAAATCTACTAAAGAACAGCAATTTTCTGTTGCATTATTATCACATTCAATTATCTATGCACATTGTAAAGTCTCCTTCCTTTATTCATCATTCAGTTTTCCGGCAGAAAAGGCAGCCAGAATTCCATTCCCAGATGCAAGTACATCATTCAGCATACATCACATACTTACCTTGTACAACTTAAGAATTACTTTTATGCATTCATGCACAAACTTGGTCTGTCGTTGCAGACTACCACCATACAATGCAACCAACTCCTCATTAAAGTTGACACTGAAGAAATTAAAATGATACTTGAACTCAACATCTTCTGCTTTTCTAAGTGCAATGGAGCCAAGAGAACGTACTAGGAAAAGAAATCATATCAATCAGAATAGTCCAATACTCGCTGCTTAACACCATCATAGACAAACACACAAATATATCATCTATTAAGAGACAAATGTTATCTTAAAACACATTATTTATAAATAACTTGAGATGAAAGAGACATCTAAAAGCAAATAAACTCTTTTCCCATGTGCAGCCACACTTGTTTTACAAAAGCAGATTTGAAAATACAAATAATTAGATAAAAAGTATCAGCCAGTCACTGTCAGAACTGAACTGTAAAATGAGAAAAGATATAATTATTTCCTATTCTTATAGGAATCCCTCTGATTTAAAAAAAAAAAAAAGTAAACATATCTTAACAAGAGCTTACAGAAGAATGTGGAAAAGCAAAAACTTATCAGATGAAAAGAAAGTTTAAAATGAGTTACCAAGAGCTGCATGCTATGCTTATGGCAGTTAACCACTGACTACAGAGATATTTTAGATCAAAACAAAATTTATACAAGATCAAGGATTATGTTCTTCCACCTGAGCACTGCTTTTGTCATCTCATTTACACCTTTCTTAGCATCGGTAGGACAAGAAGGTGAAATGAGCATTCTTGACTTCAACTCCAGAGGCACTGCTACTGCTAAACTTTTTTCAAATTCCCTTGAAGACTAAGACAATATTCCTGGATACCACTGAGATGTATAGATGATTGGAAAACCAAACCCTGCTTGATGTATAGAGGACTGGAAAACTAAACTTTCCCACCTGAAACCTTGAGGGAGAAAATATTAGGTTTACAAGTTCTTGCTTCTGACCCGTCTTCTCCATCTAACCCTGCCTGCTATTTAATACCGCCTTCTGAGTGCAGAATTGTCCCTGAGTTTCCATGGAGACATGGCAGGATGGGAACAGTAACAGCTGCAAATAAAAAACCATGATAGGGAAATAAGAAAATAAAAGAAAGTCCCAAAAAGCAAGTATATAAAATAACCAATAATGGCCAGAAAGGTCTGCCCAAATCTGGCACACAGAAGCAAGGTTATTCTAGAGTCCAATTGTTTCAGAGATCTGCAGGCTGCAGAATCCTCCTTCTTCAAAAAGTTTGCTGTAGAAAGCAATGTATCAAACAAATATCAGTGAATCTCAGGAAATGGGAAAATAATATTTTTGAAATATTTTGTATGTTCAATAACCCAAACAGATTTCATGATATTATACATCTGATTCATGATCAATCACTTCACCAATTCTAACTATGGCTAATAAGAAATAAAATCACTTTCAAAATGGTTTGAAAAAGACAAAAAGCGTTTAAAAGATTAAATATCTTATCACGTATTTATACCTTGGAGATCATGGTAAAATGAACAAGAATATTGCCAAAGACCACAAGGCAAGTGTGTGACAGATTCCTAAATAGAACTGGGATCTTGGTTCTCCCAACCTCAGGCTCATTCCCAACAATTAAAACAGACAACCACCTTCTACTCCAAGTCTGAATTTTGTACATTTTAAAAGGTTCATTTTAAAGATGATGAATTAATATGTTTCAAAAGTGACTGTAACATATCAAAACCTCCTGAAAGAAGGTTGTAGCAAGGTGGGTGTTGGTCTCTTCTCCCAGGTAACAAGCAATAGGACAAGAGAAAATGGCCTCGAATCATGCCAGGGGAGGTTTAGACTGGATATTAGGAAAAAACTTCTTCACAGAAAGAGTTGTTAGCCACTGGAACAAGCTGTCCAGAGACTGACTACTCCTGGAGGTATTTCAGTGACTTATAGATGTGGTGCCTGGGGACATGGTGGATTGGCAGCATTAGGTTTATGTTTGGACTCAAGACTCTCAAAAGGTCATTTCCAACCTAAATGAGTCCATGATTCTGTGACAATAATGATCCCAGCAAAGGTGGCAGCAGCAGCACTTCTCTCTTCAGTGCTCAGCAAATATTCACAGCTTTTAAGAAACTATGAAAAGAACAGCAGCAACACTTTCTTTGTTCATCCAGGTATCAGAATGAGAGCGTTATCCCACATTAAATTCTGAACAAAATATAAATTTTCATTAAATTCCATAATAAAACAGAAACTATTCTGAGCCACTGATTAAGGCAGAAAAATTTATTTTAACAAAGATTTTGAAAAATACACATATGACTTACTGCCAGTCTCCCCAAAGCAATTTCTCAAAGTATTTAAATATTTGCCAATTCTATCCACACATTATATTCATAGCATGTAGTACTTCTACTCACCCAGTTTAGGTTTTTATTCAGATAGTTCCTTTTGATTCCTAACATGCCCTGAAAGTACGATTCTATTTCCTGCATAGTGATGTGCTGCCATGTTTACAGAGACAGCATTAATTCACAGATCTGCAATATTTTACGCACAACTACAAAAGTCCATATGGCATCCTTCATAATCGTTATGTTTGCAGTCTTCTTTGGATGCTGTTGTGCCTGCATGAGTTTCCTGAAAGTCTGAGTTGGTAAAATATTTTACTTTGTCATAAGCTAAGTGAGTGTGTTCCTAAAGAAAATAATTTTGCAAAGTTTCCCTGAAATCAGCTAATTTAATCATCAAGCTTAGTGCAAATATGAGGAAGAATCATCACAGTAAGAATCAGGGTTTAGACTGTGGTGGTTTTCCCCATTCATACACATCAACTTTGCTAGGAGTGTCACTAAGAGTGTTACTGTTTCAGAGGCCATTTTAGAAAACAAAAATAACAGTCTGACAAAGCCAGTCTGGAAGGAATACTGTATACCTAAATAAACACTTAAACACAATACTTCTTGTTCTCAAACTACTAATTTCTGTATTTACAATGAAAAATTAAAATGCTTTAAAACAATTACTTCTTTTCGTTTGGAGCACTGAAGTGTAATAGGGTATAACCTGAAAAACAACAGCAGGCTGTGTGTAAAGTAGGAAGGTGATGCTAAGGAAAAAACACCACTACATAAAGAAGCAGGAAATAATGAAGCTACAGGGCAAGCCACAAGATAATGCCTATTTCAACAGCATGCAGTTACTCAACATCACAGATGGTACCTTGTTCAGTTTCTTCTAATCAAATTCAGGTCTTGTTTTATTTAGCATAACTGCTCTAAGCATGTTCAAATCAAAACCAACTAGATGTTTGTAAGCAAAATTATAGCAGGGGTGCCATAGTACAGCACAAACTCTACTGCTTCTGGCTTGCCAAAGTTAAAGTCTCACTCCAGAAAAATATTACAGCTCAAGTGTTTAACTGATTTCAAACCAAAAATAACCTATTTTGACTGCTTGAAATTAACCATCAACTAACTAGGATATCTACATCTTAACAGGACTGATCATCCTGACTTGGTATTATTTCAAATAGAAAACTTCTTGCCACTAATGCATCAATATGAGACCTCTTCATAAAATACCTGTAACTCAGCTAAACACTTACCTTGTTTGTAACTGCCAGCATTCCCAGGAAGAAAAAGAACTGGAATTCCTGTCAGTAGGAGATTTTTGTTTTCTTTGGCGTAGTTCCCTTCCCCATAGAGATACAGCTCATATGCTGGGTATCGTCTGGCTGTTTTCTTGGGTAGTTTTATTTTCTGTTGCAAAAGTTAAAAAGAAAACAAATACCTCTTATTTTGTTGCCAACAAGAAAACAGTGTCTATTCAGTCATTTAAGTGAGTTGGCTTATGTTTCATATATTGTTTTAAATTACAGTCTAAAGAATACAGACTGAAAACTGGGGTTTGCTTTAAAAAAAAAAAAAAAGTATTTTAAGTAGGTATTACTGTGCATAATGACTTGCTGCAGTTATTTATTTTAAACAGCTATTGACTTTGCCTGGCTTTGAAACAAACTACAAATAATGTGTTTCTGTATCTTTTAAAGATGCACATTCACAAAGTAAATCCAGGGGGAATTCCAGGTGGAAAGCATGTCCAAACCTAATTACTTCTCCCAGGACATTAGAATTTGGGACCAGAAACTGGGGCATGTGAGCTAACCTAATGCACGTGAACAGGTCTGGAATCATTTCCAATACCATGTAACTCCAAACAAGGATGTGCCACTGTGCCTGCTACCAAAGATAAATCTTGAGAATAGGGGTGCGTAGGCGACTGTCAGATGACAACTCTTATGTCAGGGTAAATTACAGATGTGGTACGAGCTCCCTTAGATGATTTGAGTCAGTTTTGTGGCCTAGTGACAACCACCTGATTTTGTAACAACTCAATTGGTTATTTGGAACCTCTTCTTATGATGTTTGATATATATATTTAAAATGCATACTTTACAATATATATGAAAATATTTTTATAATATTATGTAACATAACAAAATACTCAGACAGCATGTTTAATTCCTTCATTGCGAACAAAAAATGCTAAGCTTTTCTCAGAGCTTATGTCTTCAGATCATCCTTTCAACATTCTTTCCCTTTTCTCCATCATCTTGCCTTTGCAACTTCACTGACCTCACTGTCCCTTTCTCATTCCTTTCTACTGTTCCTTTTTCAACAGCTTTCAAAATTATGTGAAGAAAAAAATCCACAAAACCGATTTTAAATTAATCAGTTTCCATCACTAAACTAAATGCTATCAAGATACATTTATATGACTTCCTGGCAGATAAAATCAACTGCTCTTCCACAGTATCTTCCTGGTTCATTCTCTTCTAAAAAACTTTTACAGAACATACAATTAATGAGCTCCACTTCTTCAGGTCAGTGCTGAAAGCTAAAATCTACACAACCCATGAGAATTGTATCACCAAAATACTGGGGAGGGGAGGTGAGGTGTCAGTAAACTGAAGGAAACTGCATAACTCTGAAGGAAAAGAGAAGTTCATGTTCCATAACAGTGGTTTTAAATTCCAAATTCCCACATCATTCCTTATATAATTGGTTTTAATGAGCTACAGTAACTTTTTACAATGTCAATGTAGGCTTCATTTTTCATCCTGGTTCCTAGAGAAATTAGGCTTAGATGAAAAAGTCCTCATTACTAACTTCCAAATCTCTTACCGAACATAGCTGAAAAGGACAAGGGTAGCCTAAACTCAAACTCTGCAATTCAACCACTCACACAATAAAAGATGGTTAAACTTATTTCATTACTTAGTATTAGCTTGACTGCGAGCCAAGCCACACTGTTAGACACAAAAGAATTGAAACTTTCAATGTTTAATTGCTCAAATAGCTGTTTTGCAATGTGATACCCAATCTGGAAGGGAAAACAGGTACTTTCCACCTTAAATTCCTACTATTGAGATACAATACAGCCAGCTGGGACTTATATTTCCTGCACGGAATTACCGCTTGCCCTTGCATCTCCTACCAGCACAGTGCTTTACCTAAAGATGCTTAGAATTTATGCCCCAATATAAGGAGTATACACAAAAGAAGTGTGGCAGCAGATAAGAATTTCAGGCAACCACCAATAACATAACACAGATTTTGCTAGTAACTTTCTGCTGGTTGGCTTCAGACTGAAACTGAAACAGGTTTTGGCTGCAAGATCTGAGAACTTACCACACAGTATTTAAGTATTTACAGCCGCTTAACCAATTCTGCCCTACAGCACTGACAAAACCCTTGTAGCTATTCCAAGGGTCTCTTTTGTAGGCTAACATGACTGTGTCAAGGTTAACAAATAAAGGTTAATAGACCCAAAAATTAACTGTCTGTTTCATGACAAATTTAGGTAGTAAGGCTTTGCTTTAAGATCTTCTTTACTGTTCAAGCCAGCTTGCAGCCTATTTCAGAACAGAATCTTATTTAGAATAATTAGATTATGTCCTAGATAATTCTAAATGAATGTCTGACAGCCACAAAATTATGCTTTGGGATGCTTCTCATAGGGCAGAAAATCCTGTACTAAGAACTACTGTTAAAAAAGATTAATTGCTTTTCGACAACTACATGCAGTATTATCAGTGAGCCTACACACACTCACACACATCCTCCCCCTCTTAAACCCTAACACTGTGTCTGCAAAACAAGAGTTCCACCAGCAGTCTTCTCTCTCAGGCTGATCCGACGTTTTCAGAGGTTTTTAAAAGGCTTCAGTAGCGAAGTGAGAGGAACTTCAGAGAGATTTACACGTTCTCCCATACATCATAGGGTGTGCCATCTACAAAGTGCTCACTGAGAAAACTTTGTGCTGCTGTTCACTAGCTTGAGAAATACCCTCATATTTGCATCTCAGTGATTCACCAGTGGTTGCTTCACTGTTCCAAAGTCACAAAAAGGACCAGGAAGTACAAGACTGCCTCCCGGTCAGCGACAGCTCCGTGAGTGCTGTCAGGGACCTGGCCCTGCCTCTCCCCCTTTGCCAAAGCTTGTATGAGCTTTTGACTGCTTTTACCAGGACTACAGGTAGCTGCGGGCATTTACAGGCTAGAAAAGCGGAGCTTTTCTATTCGTTTTCTGTTATACAGGTGGCGGTACGAAACACGTCGGTTACTTCACAGGCATACCACCGCTTCTCCCTGCTGTACCTATCCAAGGTGCACCCGTACTGCAGGCAGCCAAGACAGCGCTTTCTGCCAAACACACCGACCCCTCAAACGAGCCACTGCTATTTGTGCCCCATTTACAGATCTGCAGAGGCCGCCTCAGCAACTTGGTAGCCCCCCGAGTTCGGGGAGCACCCGCGGCCGGGCGCGTTCAGGGCTGTTCCTCGCCCTGAGCTGCAGCAGGGCAGCGGAAGCCAGCCTCGGGAGGGCTGCGCCTCACACACGCGGCTCCCGGCCGCAGCGAGGCGGGAGGCGACGCCCCAGCGTTCGCGGGGCCGCCCAGCGGCAGGACCCCGGCAGCGGCAGGAGCTCCCACCTGTTATAGCGCCGCCCGCTCCCTCAGCGCCGCCCTCACTCACCAGGTACTCGGGGTACTCGTACATGTAGGTCATGCTGCACCGGTTCTCCTCGTAGACCAACAGCACGTCCCGCACCCCCAGCAGCACCAGCGCTGCCAGTGCCCCGTAGAAGAGCGCTGCCAACGCTGGCAGTCGGCGCCCCACCCGCCCCATGGCGCCCCGCCGCGCTGAGGTGAGGAGCGGAGCGGAGAGGAGAGGAGCCCTCCTCCCCACGCGGGCTGTCCGCGCACACAGGCACGGCAGAGAGGGGCGGGAGCGCCACCGCCCGGGAGGCGGGGCGGGGCGGGGCGGGCCGGCCGGCGCCTCAACCTGGCCGCCGGCGGGAGCGGGAGGCCGCCATATTGAGGAGGTCCGGTGATTGTCCAGCCGCTGCTCCGCCACGCTGAGGGGGAACGTCCGCCATGTCATGGCAGCCATCACGGGGAGGTCAGGAGCCTACAGGCTTCCCCCATCCAGTAGTTTGCGGGGGGACGGCGTGTCCGCCATGATAGGGAGGTCAAGTGATCGTACTGCTGCTGTCCTGCGCCTGCTTAGTCCGGCTGCTGCTGCAAGGGTACCCCCACGGCCTGAGGGCGTGAGGAGACTCCTTCCCCTCGGCCCCCTCCGCAGCCGGCCGCTGCTTGTAGGCATTTGCAGCCTCCAAAATGCCCCCCCCCCTCCCCAGGTGTCTGCGGGGTCGCGGTGCTGACAGGAGCGAGGGTGGGGACCTCGCTGCGGTTCGCGCCCCCTGCTCAGGTCTCAGGTGCTTTTACGGCTCCTGGCCTGTTCGCAGTTTAAACATCCGTAAATCTTCAACATACAAAAGACGTTACTGAGGTGGTTGGTGGTTTGTTTGCTTGCTTTAAACAACTTAGATACCTTTACTAGCTTTAGAAATTCTTCGCTGGATTTTAGTCTGTGTGGGACTACTACCACGATGCACCCACGACTGCTAGCGTTGCTCACCCATGGAAGCTGCCAGTAAAAGTAACTGACCAAAAAACGTTACTGATTCTGGGGGTTCTTTTGGATTTGGGTTGTGGGGTTTTTTTTTCAGTTACAGAGGAAGTGATACTAACGGGCTTAGTAAGACAAAGGGTTGTTACATATGAGGGAAGTACACAGCAGAAAGACATACAGTTGCGTTTTCAGCTTCTTCAATTCTTAAGCCTTTCCCCATCCTTTAAAAGAAACAAAGTCTACTCAGTTTTCCAACAGTATTTGTACCATTTTTATTTGTAAAAATAACCATCTGAATGCATTGCAATAATAGTTTACAGTTAGGGTTCTTCATTACATTAACAGAGCATTCAGTAGTTGAAAAAGTTACTTAAATGTGCTTGAGAAGATTCAGGTTGAATTCCAAGTCATTCAGTGAATTGAGTCTTCTTCCTCATTTCAAATGTGACATTTACCCAAGTCCTTACACTTCAATTTACAAAAGCAAACAATAGCAACAAAATCCCACTGAAACCATCAAACAATATTTTATATTGTTTATTACAAATGTTATGCAAAATATAACACTGGCACCAGATCGTTTCACCATGGTTTGTAAAGATATATTGCACATGCTAAAGCATAAAATATAAGACAAAACCTACAAAACATAAGATATTGGCTTTAATATGTAGATCACTGCATAAGAAACGCATAAAATTACATTTTGTACAAACACTCAGATTGTCACTAGTTTAAAACGCCCTTTCCTATAACACTGACCTAAGGTTTACTTTTTGTGTAATAAGAAAGCATTTTCAGCACTGCAAAAATTATACATTATTCCTATAGAAATTTAGCATATTAATTTTCATTTCAATGCAGGTAGAACATATTAAAAGAAACACTTTATACATTCAAAGAAGGTCTGAAATGAAAATTTACTGGTAATATATTGCTTTTATAACACTCAAGTGGAAAAAAAAAAAAGACAAGTTTCACAAAACATTTCCATATTACACAAATATAAAAAGGCACTCTAATATTCCTTACATGACTAAGAATAAAAATCACAATTTTTTTCTTTTAAAATCATCCTCAAGATACATAACCAAGTTTCTCAACAGTACAATGGATAAACAATTCATTTCATGTGTTTGTTCTAACTCAATAATCTGGCAGTTATTTACTGCATAAAAGTACCAAACACATTATGGTGCCCTTTTAATAGCAATGAACAGAAATCCCCTGAGCTATTTCACAGCAATTTCAGGCAGTCCAGAGGTTGTAACTCAGTATTTATGAGAGACTTGGGACCCCATCCTGCTATGGATTCCACCTGCAGCTGTGGTTAAAACACAGGATGAAACGATCCTGCTAATACACCTGGGCAGATGGCTGGGCCTCCCCAAATAACCTTTGCTTGGTGCAGACACGTAAGTTGTCCACATACTGTAAATTGCAGGATCCAGGGTTAAGTGCAACAATTACGTATGATTACTCTCGTAAAAAGTCCACAGAAAGGCAGGGTGATTATTTACAAGAGCAGAATGACACCCATGCTTAAATACCTGCCATAAATTACAAATGTATTTCTACATGTGATAAATTATATTACAGATTAATGTACCAGCATACCAAAAAAGGGATTCTGGTAACTCACATGAGATGTGGGAGAGGCCAATACTGAGTACTTCCAAATGTCTTGCTCATGACAGTTTTCCTCCTAAATACAGCATACTCAAAACATGACTTTCACAATGCCTTAAAGATGCTAACAAATTACCTATTTCTATGATTTTGGGAATATTGCATACTTTGATCACTGTTTGTTTCAGAAAAGTTTTATCAGTTTAGATTTGATTCCTAGAAGGATCAAAGTAATTCAGTAAGCACCTATGCTTTTATAATGTTGAATACATCATTAAGAGGCAGCACTTGTTGCACTATGCAACTACCAGGTATTGCAAATATACAGAAATATTTTCAGTAACTCTGTATAATAGCAAGTAAAAATACTGATTTATTTTTGTTTTTCAAATGGCTGCTTAAAATAATACATCATCCTGTTTCTAAAGAGGACTGGTTTTCTCCTAATGAAGCAACTTCATGTAGGAGAGTGTAACTTGTGTGAGACCACTAATCCTGCCAAGGAGCCTACCTACATCTCTGGTTACAATAAGTCTAAAAGGCTGATCCTGCTATTAGATGGGTGGCAGCCATTTCCCATTTGTTTATTTGTTTTCAGTGACATCATTCCACATTAAAAAAGCAAAATTTAGGATGAAGACACCACTGAAAACTTTAAACAACTGATCTCTTATTTTCAGTGCTTAGAGTAAGGTGGTTATTGCTATTTTGCAACTTCTAAAAGGGAAAATGTTGACAAAAATCAATCAGAAGAATGCTATTCTGTGCTATCTCTGAGGAGAAAACAGGGGTTTCAGATGCTCCATCATTGTGCTGCAGAAAATAGAGAGTTGAGGGAAAAGAAATGTTCACCTTTAGAGACACTATCCCTTGTGATTTTTTGTTGTAAACTTTGGAAATCTGTTAACGTTCAAGGAAACTATTCATTTTAGGAAGGCAAAATTAATCTCTTTCCTAATTAAAGAACTGGAATCTGCCAATAGATTTTTAACAATTCAATGGAACACGGCTAAAAACAGCAATTAAAATAAAAATCCCTTACTTTTAATTTACCCTGCCAAAAGCATGTACTGAGAACGCTTGTCTCATTCTCCCAGCACATACATAGTTCTGCAGAAAGCCTGGGTGTAACACCTTGACTCCATGCTACACTACCCTTGCCTTCTCCTGTCACTGTACAGTGCTCTTTCAGTTGCCTTGCTTTTAAATGAGGGAACGTATTTTGCTTTCTGCTTTATACCAGTATAGCCTGTGGACTTAATCTTTGCATTCCATACAAGAAGACGGGCACTCTCCCAAAGTGCATCAGCCCTTCCTTTTTCTACTCAGGGTATGAGTCTTGCCTAGATTCACATTTCATTTCGCATCATGCCAAATAATATGCACAAATGCTAACTAGGAGAACAAGCCATAGGTATTTTTTCCTGGGCATTTGTTTCACTTCAAATAAATATAAACACATTTACATTAAAAGTATATGAACATATTATTTAGTCTGGAAAGAAAACCAACCCGAACTGTGGTCAACACATCAACAGTTACAAATGTCAACTTGAAACCTGCGTCATAAAATGTAAAATTCAGTCAAGACTACTCATTACCTCAAAAGTTTCTATTTTTATGGTTTAGAAAAAACTGGTTCATTATGTCACTCACATTTGAAGAAAAAAATAAAAGTAGCAAAGTCTTCCATGTAATTACTGAAGCATTTTGGTCCTCTTGGTACAGCTGATTAGTTCATGATAGCTTTTTGTTTAGTTTGGTTTTGTTTACAAAGTCTCATTCTTCCTTTTGTACATCTGTTGCAGGTGAGGGTCGTGGTCCATTTGACCTAGAAACTTTGGCAGAAGGAGTAAACATATTCACAAAGTTGACATTGCTTTAAAAGCTGGTGACAATAGGCTTTTTTAGCATGTATCTCCAATCCCTGCGCGGTACACTGCCATGTTTTCTGGTGTTTGGTAGTTCAGCTTTTGGTGTTATGCTTTCATTGCTTTACCTTTGCTCTGTTAATCCAAACACTGTTAAAAGTATTTTAAAATTTGATACTGTTTACAGTAAAAATAAGTTATTTAAGTATAGAAGAGGAAAAAAAATCCATTTAAGTTGGCAAGTCATTATCAACTTTTACAAACACCTTTACCTACACCTAATTCCTCACATCCTCAACCCCCCTTATTTTTTCTGATATGAGATTCATGGTTAATGGCTCAGGTGACAGAAACATCTAATGACCCTAATTCTGTAGTGCAAATAAACTGTATATGTTTGTGCTGAATTGAAAAAATATAAGGGCCAAGTGATTTTCATTTTATACCAGTGGTTCCACTAATATCTGTGGGGAAATAGGGTCAGACAAGTAGAATTTGGCCTTAAGAGTTAATAACTATATTTTTCTCATTGTGTGCTGCAACTAAGAACTGTGAAAAGTGCCTCTGTACGTTTAAGTGCTTAATACATGCAGAATGCAAAAGGTTTCATTTCCTGTAGAAAAGTAATACAGGTGGTTTTAAGATTTACAACTTTACCTTTGGTTTGTGTAAAACAAAAATTAATAAATCTAATTAACAGAGCCCCTGGAAGCAGGAAACAGACACACATAGGAAAGGGGTGATGCTAAAACCTATGAAAGCTATGCTGGAAATATGTCTGTGTACTAAACGTACAGCTAAAACATGTAAGAACTTACAAACAGTTCCCTGTTTATTTGTG